CTGAGAAAGCAATTCAGGTCGAAATCAATATTTACCGTATTTTTCGCTCCATAAGACTCCCAAAAGGACTGGGAAAATGTGCCTGCGTCTTACGGAGCGAATCCCGACGCCCGAGACATGCAGTTTCGGGCGCCGGGCGAGTAGTAGGAGCCACTGCTCCTTTAATACGAGTGATCTAATGAGATCACTCGTATTAAAGCCAAGCAGTGGCGGCGGCGATCGAGTTCAGCAGTAGGAGTTACTGCTCGTTTAATACGAGTGATCTAATGAGATCACTCGTATTAAAACCGAGCAGCGGCGACGATCGAGATCACCATAGAGCAGACGAAGAACGGACGTTCTTCGTCTGCTCTGTGTGATCAGAGACCGTGGCGCTGTAATCACAGCGCCACCTGTCTCAGTGGTCACTTACTGCAGCTTCTGTCACAGCTTCTGTCATAGAAGCTGTGTCAGAAGCTACAGTCTGTCGAGTGCTCCATAAGGCGCGCCGGACCTCCCTGCGTCCTATGGGACGGTGCGTCTTATGGACCGCAAAATACGGTAGTCCACTGGGGTTCATAGTGTCCAATGTATAAATCCATTTGGACTCATTCTGTGAGATTTTTCTAGTTACATTCGTGCCTCTCCAGTGACTATCGACTTTATCTATCCCGATTACTGTTAAAAGTTTAGGGTCTCTATTGTGAAATAGTCTAAAATGACTATGGGGTCTATTCACGAAGCTGCCGAAGGATCTGGCCGTAGCTTCGGCCGATCCTTCGGCTAGCTTCGGCCCCAGGACCCCTTCGGTTCAGTAGAACCAAGGGGAGCAGCTTTGTGAATAGACCCCTATGTTTATTAAAACCGTTCTTAATATTAGTAACATGCTCTTCTAATCTCTTTTTGAGCATTCTAGTAGTTCTCCCCACATATTGTAAGCCGCAAGGGCAGCTAAGTAGGTAGGTCACGAACTTACTGTGACAGGAGACACATTTTTTAATTTTATATTCCCTGTTTGTGGAAGTAGATTTAAAGGAGGTGATTTTTTTCCTGTGGTTCTACAGCAAATACAGTATTTGCAGGGATAAAATCCAACTCCCTTAAATATGGTTACCTCTGGTTTAGGGGGATCCAGCACATTAATGGCAAGTTTAGTTTTAAGGTTTGGGGCTCGTTTGTATAATATTCTAGGTTTACTTGGCAAGATAGGACCCAGTATCCTATCTCTTTTGAGGATATGCCAATGATTTTTAAAAATATGTTCTATTAATTTATACTGGGCTGAATGATTTGTTATAAACGCTACTTGTCCTTGATCTTTAGATTTTTGTATAGGTTTTAATAAATCCAATCTATCTTTCTTTGATATAATTTTTTGCACTGTTTTTAATTCCTCTTCTTTATATCCGTTTTCTTTAAATTTGTCAATTAGCATATTAGTTTGTTTATGGAAATCTTCATCTTTGGAACAATTTCTTTTAATTCTGGTTAGTTGCCCTTTTGAAATTCCTTTGAGCCAGACTGGGTGATGGCAGCTGGACATCGGAATGTAACTATTTCGATCTGTGATTTTGAAGAAGGTCCTGGTGTTAAAGCTCCCTTCATCTTTTACTATGTCCAGATCAAGAAAAGTTATATTCCGATTGCTAATATGACTAGTAAAAGAGAGGTTGTAATCATTAAGGTTAAGATCATCGATGAATGGTTGTAGGGACTGTGCATCACCCTCCCATAAAACTATAATATCATTGATGAATCTTTTCCATCATTTTAATTTTTTTATCTCACTCTTAAAGATGTATTCCTCCTCCCACATTGACATATATAGATTTGCCAAGCTTGGGGCAAATTTAGCTCCCATGGCAACACCTTTTTCCTGTAGATAATATTCACCCTTATACCAGAAAAAATTGTTTGTCATTGCGAACCGTAGACTTTCCAGGATAAAGTCTTTTTGTTCTTCTTCGTAATTGGCGAACGTTCCAAAGGCCCATTCAACAGCCTTTAGGCCCCCTTGATGTGGTATAACAGTATACAGTAGAGTGAATTTACGTCTATGGTCGCCATTGTAATGTTCTCATCTGCCTTGATATCCTTTAGGATATTCAAAATATCCTTGGTATCTTTTAGAAAAGCCCTAGTTTGTCCTACTAGTGGCTGTAGATGGTAATCTATATATTGGCCTAAAATCTGGAGCAGCTGTGCATGGCAACCAATCAGCTCCTCTCTTTCATTTTCAAATCTTAACTGGACAAACTGAAGAGAGGAGCTGATTGGTTGCCTTGGGCAACTGCTCCAGATTTTGTCTGCTTTAGTTTTGATAAATTCCCCTCATTGTGTTTCTTCACCATAGATGGGCTCTAGCTTGTGTCACAATATCCGGAAATCCGTGCCGGATTTTCGATATGCTCCCTGTTTCTGGGCTGTCAGCCTATGGTGTCTCACAAGGCTGCAGCCAATCTGCTCTCCTTCTCCCCTATTTAGGAGTAAATTTTTTATTTTCCCAAAAAGTTAGCCAAAAATTAGAAATCCAAAATTTCACCATATCTTGGGGTGTTTACTTCCTAAAAAGGGGTAATTTTTGGGGTGTTTTTACTATTCTGGCATTTCAGGGCCTCAATAAATGTGATAGGCAGTCAGAACATTAGGGTTGATAAATGTCAAATATATATTCCATAGTTTGTAGACTTTATAACTTTAACACAGACTAAATAATATACACTTTCATTATTTGGGATGGGGGGTTGACTTTCTACCAAAGAAATTTAGCAGGATACATTTTGGTCTAAATTTATGAAGAAATATTAATTTAATATGTTTTATAACAGAAAGTAAGAAAAACTGTTTTTTTTCCCCCAAAATGTACTGCTTTTTTTAAAAACCCAGTGGTTATTGAATACCAATAAAAAAAGCTTGATCTGTTTAAAAAAAGACATGATATAAAATTCATTTGGGTACAGTATTGTATCACAGCACTAAAAACTGAAAATGGCCTAAACAGGAAGGGGGTGTAACATGCCGGTCCTCAAGTGGTTAATTAACTTAATCCATTCCACCCTAACCTGATTCATAAGGAACAAGTGGGGTTTGTACCTGCACGGGGGGCTAAGGATAGTATTAGGCAAACAATCACCCTGATGCATTACGCTCAAACACATGGAATCCCCTTTTGTTTATTCTCGGTGGACGCCAAGAAAGCCTTCGATCGTGTTGGGTGGCCTTTCCTGCGGGCCTCTTTGCTTCAGACGGGCTTCCCTGCAGATTTTGTGGATAAAATCATGGCACTTTATTGCCGACCGCGTGCCAGAGTATGGGTGAACGGCGTGCTTTCGGCTCCGTTCCAAATACATAATGGCACCCAACAGGGTTGCCCCCTGTCCCCATTGCTTTACATACTGGTCATGGAACGCCTGGCAAACACTCTTAGACTCAATCAATCTATCCAAGGCCTCTCAATCGGCAAGCAAATCCATAAAAAGGGGTTATATGCTGACGACCTATTGTTGTACCTTTCCAATCCACTGGTGGCCCTGCCTTCGGTGTTGCACGAATTAAAAATATTTGGGGGTCTATCCAATTACCGGGTAAATGTGCAAAAATGTGAACTTCTGGATGTATCCCACCCCCCTGCAGAACGGGACACCCTCCGGGACTCACTGCCCTTTCGAGTACGGTCGGATCACATTACCTGCCTAGGGGTTAAGGTGCCAGCCACATTGTCGGACCTGTACTCACTTAATTACGCCCCACTGTTGCAATCCGTGGAGGACACTCTTACCTCCTGGATGAACCTACATCATACCTGGTTTGGCAGAATCGCACTGTTCAAGATGCACCTACTGCCTCGATGCCTCTATTTGTTCCAAACCCTCCCTATAAGTCTCCCGATCCGCTTCTTTAAGCGCATCCGCTCGGCGGTCCTATGCTATATTTGGAGGAATAAGAAACCCAGACTGCGATACACTATCCTGATAAAGAGGAAGGAACATGGGGGCGCCGCCCTTCCAGACTTAGAGACGTGTTACAGGGCCAACCATCTATCCCATTTAGCAGCCTGGTTTGACTCCAGCGATCCTGCATTGTGGGTCACCCTGCAAAGCGACCTTTCCCCGGTGCCGTTATTCACGCTTCCGTGGTTACCGAATGCTCTTCGACCGCGAAGCTCGGATCTTCCCTTCTTTCCGCCCCAAGTATTACGGGTATGGAACACCACGATGCCCAGATATAACTTATCTGTACCTCGGGGTCCCATGACCCCGATCCTGGCCAACCCGGATTTCCCGGCAGGGTATGGAGTTCCCACCTTTTTGTGCTGGAAGGTCTCTGAACCTTGTTATGTATCTCAGTGCCTGTCGGGAACAGCCTTACAGCCACTAGCATCACTATCTGGCCCCAACCCGCTTCCGCGATCTTCATGGCTGGCTTATTTCCAACTCCGACACTTTGTGGATGCATTGTCTGTGTCGGGCACTCTCCATAGGCCTCTCACTTTTTTTGAGGACCTATGCGCCTCTGGTCTGCCAATCCAACGCCCAGTTTCGCTGCTTTACCAAGCATTAATCACCGCGCACAGTGGAGATTCCCTGTACTTCTTTTCCGCTTGGGAACAGGAGTTGGGAATCGTCCTCTCGGAGGATGACCGTCACAAATGCCTATGCTTTACACATAAACTCTGCATGTCGACTTACGCACAAGAGCGGAACTTTAAATTGCTGACCCGATGGTATAGGTCCCCGGTCAGAATGCACCAGATCTCCCCCACGTACCCAGACAACTGCTGGAGATGCCGGGCTGGACCGGGCACGGTGGCCCATGTGTGGTGGAGTTGCACTCTGCTTCTGCCCCTTTGGCAAGCTGTCTCACAGTCTACTCCAGAGTTACTTCTATTGATCTGCACATTACGCCTGAGATGGCTCTATTAACGGTCTTTCCGGGCTCTATCTCTAAGGTGAAGAAATCTCTGCTCAGATTCTTTATCGTTGCTGCTAGAGCCTTAATCCCTCGCCATTGGAACTCCACTGTCATCCCATCAGTTGCGGAATGGACAGCGGAGATGTGTCGCCTGATGAGATCAGAAGAGCTCATTGCGGAGAGAGCTGACAGATCTGATACCCTGTTTCCACGAAAATAAGACCTACCCCGAAAGTAAGACCTAGCACTATTTTTCAAGATTCCTGTAATATAAGACCTACCCCGAAAATAAGACCTAGTTTGGTGGTAGCATGAAAGGGGGAACTTGAAGAGCAGGAGAGAGGTATCAGCCTGCAGGGACATACTGTATTAAGGGGATGACAGGGGACTCCCTCCGGCCAGCGCAGTGACAGTGAGCACTCCAGTACCATACTTCCCCAACTGCTGCCCCCCTGAAGGCACTGCTTAATGTAATGGTACTGTAATGTGTACCGGTAAATGGTACCGTACTTTACCGCGCTGTCTGATGTCCCCTCTGCTGCACAGATGAGACCGCGGGTTTTTGTGCTGTATGTGCGTCTTTTTGTTTCTGTTATTGTATCCATGTTCTTTTGTCTTTGTAAAAAATTCAATAAAAACTTATTTCTGAAAAAAAAACTTCATCCATTCCAGAAACCCACCAACTAGGAAATTGATTTTGTGCTTAAATAAATTATTATTGCTTTGATTTATTTCAGTGAAGTATATTAAGCATGTAAAAAACCAGCTGAAATACTACAATAAACCATTTCTTGACCTAGTTTAAAGTTTCTTCTTGTGTTTTCATGTGTTTCATTTGCCCTGAATCCGTTTAAAAAGCTTTTGAATTATTGATTCCTTTTCTGGAAGAAAAAAAAAAGTTTTAACATATTAAATAAATTGTAGAATATAAAGGATTACTTGGTTATGATATAAATAAGTCACGGGTCATGCTGTTCTAAAATGTATGAGAGATATTTATGTAGGACCCATTCACACCATGTCTAGACCAGATCTGGATACATTTCTGCAAATGTGGTCAAGTGCATTTTTTATATGTATTTTTAAAGCATTCTGGCGCTTTCGTTTTAAGCTCAATTGACTTGCTAGTGTGCTCCAGTGCATTCTGGTGCATGTACATGCGTTTACATGTATTTTTTATTTAGTACATGCTGTATTTTCTTTTAACGCTCTGGAACTAAACACACCTCTAAACCCTCTCTAAAACTGCTATGTTCTTTTTCCAATGCAGTGTCCAAAACTCGACCCCATATTATACACATTACAGGATTTATTTTTGCTTTTGCAGCTGCTGTTTGGCATTGAGTAGAGCTGCTTAAGGTGGCTAAACACTATGCAAATTTTGGCCGGTTCTTAATGATGGCCGAAATTCACACAGTGGGTGCTGTTGGCACCCTTTCGGGCACCATCCCTTGATTGGCTGATCGAAAGAACAGGTCAGAAAATCTTCGACCAAACAGAGCAGGCAGCAATTGAGCTGCCAGCTCTGTTCAGGTATTCCGGCGGCTGCTGTCAGAATACAATGAAGACAGTGAAAGATTCTCCGATCAACACTTGCATGTGTTGATGGAGGAATGTGTTATATTTTCTTCAGCCTACAAGTTAAACAAATAAAATATAACAGCACATGGCGCATTTACTGTGTGCTCACTTAGTCCGGAGTTCTGTTTGTTTGAGAAAAATGTCAGAAAGATTACTTACTCATCATCATCAATGCTATTTCCAGAAATGATATTTTTTCCACTAGGAGCATAATTCCAGTTGATTTCTTGAATTCCAATGAAGTACTCCCTGTCTTTGCCAACAACACATACAACAACCAATACACAGTGTAGGTGTACTGTGAAGAGCTTCATTGTACCAGTGTAATGAGCAGAGCTCAGTGACTGAACCTCAGCATTTATAAAGCATTGAGCTTCCTAAAACATTGGCTTCACTCTGGAATTTTGCTATCAAAGTCCTATTTGCTGATCAGAGCAAACACATATGCCAGTAAAATCATTTTGCAAGTCTATATTATGCAATGTTCTATTAAAAATTGTTTATATTTAGGACAAGCATTTTACAGATAGTACACTCAGTCCTTGTGAATTTTAAACTGAGAAAAAGGATAATTTAAGAGAAAAGAAGAATTTGATGTACCTATTACATATTCTACATAGGTTTGAGGCAAATACTGCGGGTTTGAGATTTGTGGTCCCAGCAAATTTAAGTGCAGATTTGCCCGGTAGAATTATTTTAAACCATAATACACTGCATGGCCTTTAACCACTTGCTGTCCAGGGTGTTTATACCCCCTTCCTGTCCAGGCCATTTTTCAGTGTTCAGCGATGCGGTACTTTGACTGACTTTTTATTGCATCAGGCAACGTTGTACTGAAATTAATTTTATACCATTTTTTGGAGGACAGATAGAGCTTTCTTTTGGTGGTATTTAATTACCACTGGGTTGTTTTTTTAAATATATATAATGAAAAAAGTACCGAAAGTTTTTTTTTTAAAAAACCTGTTTTCCCTATGGTATATTATAAAACATTGATTAGTACCCAAATTTTTGGTAAAATATAAAATACGTGGTCACGTCGGTTAAATAGACACCAAACATGTCAAGCTTTAAAATTGCACCTGCCTGCGAAATCGCAAAAAACTACTCAAAATTGTCCATATGCTAAGCTTTAAAAGCTTTTACTGTTCATCAGTTTAGCGTTATCAGTGATTGATGGCCCTAGAATTATTGCTCTCTGCGACGTTTGTGGCGATATGTAACATGTGCAGCGCAATGGATGCAATCATCGTTTGCGCACGTAGGCTCACTCGACGCATGTTTGCATGTGTATGTGTGAAATTGAAGTCACAGGTCCCTTTTATTAAGTTTAAAGACCCCTAATGTCACCTAGGAACCCCCAGAGAAGCTGATGATGCAGATACCTGCTTCACCACTTCTCTCCGGCTTCTGTACCGGAGAGAGTGACAACGGAATGCGGAAGTGATGTAATACACATCACTTCCTGCATTCCGAAGAGCAGGAGGGGATCAAACAGAGATCATGTACTGATCTCCGTTTGATCTCTGGTCGCAGAGCTGCTGTGCTGGTCCAGGACTCACACCGGGCACAGCGGAGCTCGGGATCACAGCATCGGCTGCAACGGATGGGGGTAGCACACCCGCACCCATATTACAAGCGATCAAGTGTTTCTACAGACACCCGAATGCTTGTATGTAAACAGCCATCGCTGGCTGTTTACATTCCAAGCTGATTTCCCGCTCGTGTGCGCTGCCTAGAGGCGGGCACAAGCGGTCAGGATGGGACGTTTACAAATGCCCACCCACATTCAAGAAGCCGCTGTTGTTTAATTACAACAGCCGGACAGCAGGTGATTAAACAATGACCAAAAGGCTTAGAATCAGAGGGTTTTTGGTTATGCCAGCCCCATCATTTTAACCACTTGAGGACCGGGGTGTTAAGCCTCCCTCCTGTCCAGGCCATTTTTTTAAAGGTATTTCCACTGATATTTATTCAGTCATACAACGCCATACCAAAATTAATTTTATATAATATTTTTTGGGATAGATAGAGGTTTTTTTTGGTGGCATTTAGTCACCACTGAGTTTTTTATTTTTTACTATATAGAGAAAAAAGTACCAAATGTTCACCTAACATTATGTTATAAAACATTTATTATTACCCAATTTAACAAAAATAAATAAATTGGGGTCACGGCAGGTAAATAGATACATGTCATGCCTTAAAATTGCATGTGCTTGTGAAATCGCAAAAAAACTACCATATCAAAAATTTCCCATATGCAGTGCTTTAAAAGCTTTTACCACTCATCAGTTTAGCGTTACCAGTGATTGATGCCCCCTTTGTGACAGTACAGATACAGTGACAGGTCCTCTTTATGGAGACGTCAGGGGTCTATTGGACCCCTAATGTCACCTAGGGAGCCAAAAGAAGCTGATGAAGCAGAGATATGCTTCACCGGCTTCTTCTGCAACCACAGCAGCCGGAGAAATGACAGACTGAAACCGGAGGTGAAGTAATACACATCACTTCTGGGTCCAGTGATCATAGGGGAGGTCAGCCACTGGAAGTGTGTTGACCTCCCTGTGATTCAGCCACAGAGAGCCACTGTGCCAGCAGCAGCGGCGGAGGAAGGGCACACACTCCCCAGCACCATAAAAGTGATTCAGTAGCTCTATAGCAGCCAGAATTCTTGTATGCAACGGCCTTCGTTGGCTGTAAGCAATGTGGGGCACATGCACAAGCCGGGCGTTGGGAAATTACATTTAAAAACCGCCTCTAAGAGTGAGCTTTCCAGTCATTTGCTTACAATCGGCTGGACAGAAATAGGTTAAAGAAGGAGGTGGGCACAAAACAGTCATAGCGGAAGTGCATTGGAAGTTGTGGCGGGGTACGCATAGGGAAAGCTGAAAACTGTCACAGATAAGGGTCAAATAGGAAGTTGTACTTCACCCCTTTACTACTGCCATACCTTTTTATCTGGAGAGGTGGAGGCATATTTCTGGAATGCAGTTTATAAATAGCACTTTACAGAGAAATCAAAGACTGGTAGCCAGTATGCCTGTCAATGGTAGTTATTTGCACTGTCATTGAATAGCTTTGATCACACACACAATGTACAGAGCCTATCAGAGTGGATCCGTACCTTGTTATTGCCCTGATGACCAATTACCCTAGTGTTTATATTTGGGAGCCCTTCATTTTTTCTCACAGAGGAAGAGGAGCAGGTAGGATTTTTCACCCCCTTCCTCCACTGTACATCACATTTCCATCCTGTCTCTCTATCTGACCTGTATATTAACACTTTAACTCCCTATACTGCAGTTTAGCCACTTCATTTCCATAATCCCACTATATCCTGCACATGAACCCCTTTACCTCCCCCTCCCTCTGTGTATAACCTATCCATTAATGATGAGCTGTATATAGTTCACCACCGCCAAGCTCCATGTTTTAATTCTGATTGCTAGCTCTTTGAGAAATCAATCCCTTTGCTGCCTTTTTTTTGCTGGTGCAGAGACTAGTAAATGACCACCAGCATTGGGAAAGCATAGATGCAAGGTTCTACTAAAAATTGATCATATTTAAAGTGACATTAAAGTCAAAAAATGTTTTCCCTCCCCCCAATGTTAATGTTAGCACTTATCTTAAATGATGTCTCCTAATCCGATCTACCTCTTCTTTCCTGATGTTTTAATCTGTCCCTCCAGCGGTGCTGCGGCTCTCCGATTCAGCACTGACTCCTCTCTGCTTGCAGCCACTTCCGATCCAGCGGTGTCTGCATGCAGGTGCACGCGTCCATAGACTTACCTTGCGTCTCTGCTTGTCTCCTGCCCGAAAATCCAAACTGTGCATGCGCCCGCCCCAAGATGCTTTGCGGCCGCCCAAGCAGTTTTGGATTCTCGGGTGGGAGCTCGCGGCGAAAACAGGGTAAGTGTAAACCGCTGTTAAAGCGTTTTTAAAAAAAAATACTTTTTCCCTATATCTACTGCTTGCTAGCAGTGGATATAGGCAAAAAAAACGGAGGGTTTAGAACCCCTTTAAGTGTTTTTGCAGACAGCACAGCTCAGTCCTGGTGAATTGTAAGCCCTCGTTCACATTTCCATGGTGAGGGAGCATGTTCGATGCCACATGCGATTCCAAATTCTACACTTATTAGACCAGCACCTGGGAAGTCCTGATGGCGGCTCTACATTTAAAAAAAAATGTGCTTGAGTGCTTTTTACCTGTTGTAGACAGCCTATCCAAATGAATGGGCTTCCCTACCACAATGCAATGCAGCACATCCTGCAGCACACCTGCAATGCAGCCTCGCAGGTGTGTGAACAGGGGCTAAGCTGTTGTGAGAGAACATTTTGAGGTACTTAATTATGTACTTAATATTTTACATACTCCGTACTAATGTGAGTTTATGAATGTATTCATGTGCACTTTACGTCAATCAATTAAACTGTCCCAGGTGTGTAAGATTAGTTGATAGAAATATTTATTGAACATGTTCCTATATGTTATTTTGTGTGTGGATCTACAATAACATTTATGTTTATATTTTTTCAATCCGCCATAATTGAGTATGCGTTTCTCTACAGTCATCTGTGTTGCAAGTGTCAACATTTCCAAGAAATCATGTTGGCAAATGTATCAAAAAAAGAAACAAAATTCAGTAACCAAAGTGGAAGATGGAGTGAAAAACTAGTAAAAAAAATAAGCATTCTATAGCAATGACACATGGACAATGAACGAATTATAAATTGTCTAAAATTGTTATGAAAAAATAAAAATCAGTTCTGAGTCAAATCTTTTACTCTTCCTGATATGTTTAAAAACCACATTGTCCTCATTATTACTCTCTACATGGTGAAAATGGCCTGATTACCCCAAACAAAGCTTGAAACTGGGAGCACTGTTTGCCGTTGTCACTCATTTAAGGCCAGCCTAACAAACTTTTTTTTCCCTAAGATAAAAAGCAACATGAATTGTATCCAGTCAGAATTTAATCACACTTGCCCCCACATAATCCTCAGCAAAATCCATTACCAGACTATTATCCAAGTAGCTGTCTGGCAGGGACCAGCTGGCTGGGACCATACTTGGGAATCTCCAGCCCCAGAGTACATCCCCATACAAGTCTATGAGGACCCTCTGCACTGGCACAGACAGCAATGAAGAAGACTTTAGTTGGAGATCCAGTAAAAAGAGTGGAAAGGGCTAGGGGAAGAAAATTATGGTATTTAACCCCTTCATGACTGAGTTTGTTTTTGGTTTCTGTTCGTAAATGACTGACACACTTTTGACATTTTTGCTGTGTGATTCTTCCACATCAGTAATATACTTTCTTACAAAGTGCACCCACACATATTATATATTGTTTTTTAGAGGACAGATAGGGCTATATATTTATATCACATATGTGTGTCTAACGCCTCACTTAGCACAAATACAAATTAAAAAAAGAGGAAAAAACGTAAAAAAAAACTTTTTTTCCCAGTTTTGATTTGTAGTATTTTTTTTTAACAAAACCAGCACAGCTAAAAAAAAATGCAATACATACATTCATTTATTTGTCCCTTATTTTTAATTTTTTTACACTTTTCACTATTTTTTTAAATTTATTTACACTTTTCACTTTTTTTATACTGACAAATTTTATTTATTTAATTATATCAGGCAGTCATTGTGAATTAATCTCACTATTACTGCTTGATAAATTAATATATTTTTTTTTATTATCAGGCTGCTTCAAACTTCAGAACAGCCGATAATAAGTTAGTGACACTGATCCTGCAGCAGTTCAGGATTCAGCTGTCAGTGAATGTTTCAGAAAACTTAAACATTCTACTTTCAAGAATAGATACATTATGTGTCTAATACATAACATTATGTATCTATTCTTGAAAGTCAAAAGATAAAAAAAAAAAGCCAGTATAGCTTGAGAGAGATATCTCTCGATCTATACGAGCTGTCAGAATGCCGGCAAAAGCCGACATGTGTGTCTGCTTTGCTGTGACTCTCAGACACCCGATATTAAGGTATCGGGTGTCTGAAAAAGGTTAACCCTTTCAGTAATGGATCTCTAGATAGTTAGACATCTATTACTGAAAGGTAACCGCTGATTCTCAGCGGTTAGCAGCCTTCTAGTGCAGCAAATAACTCGTCACGTACAGTGTACGTGACGAGTCATTTGGTCCCTTTGTGGCTGGACGTACAGTGTACGTCTCCCGTCACGAAGGGGTTAATAAACATAGAGTTGCTCTGCTTCAAACCTTCCCATCTATCATTGTTACAATTTCCTGACTTTCCCTATTACCCATCAGTGTCTGATGACGAATTTCCCAACGAATCGCTAATGCTCAATTCTGCAAGTGATTCTAATTTAATATGGCTGTTTTCTACCTGGTCTAAAACTGCTTTTGACCTAAAGGGACGCTTTTTGGATGCCATGGACGCTCTCAAGTTTCCAGGCAGAAAGAACAGCAAAAGTGCAGGAAGGGCACTGGACAAAGCTCTAGGGACAAATTTGTAAGTAAAATAGTTTGATAAAACAAAAAAACAAAACTTAAATAAAAGTCTGAATTTTTCTTTTACATTTCAATGCAACGTTTTAAAGACAAAAAAGCATGATCCATTAGAATTCAGATCTTCAAATTCTTTTCATTATTTTATTCAGAACATTTCAGTGGGACCAGCATAGTGCCACTCTGACAGCGGATCAGAGGGAGATCGGTACACGAACTCCCTCCGGTCCCCTCTCCGCTGTCAGAATGCGTAAGTGTTGTATATTACATCCCTTCCGCATTCTAGTGTCACTCTCCAGCTTCAGATGCTGGAGAGAAGCTGATGAAGCAGATCTCTGCTTTATCAGCTTCTTCAGGGGGGTCCTAGGTGACATTAGGGGTCTTGGAGACCCCTGATGTCTCCATAAAGAGGACCTGTCACTTCTTTTGCCATCACATAAGGGGGTTTCTTAGCCCCCTATGGGATAGCAATAAAGTTAAGTGGGGGGAAAAATAGGGAAAAAAAATAAAGTTTCCCCCCCAAAAATGTAAAGTTACATTTTTTTATAAAAAATAAAAAAAAATGTAAAGTTCCCCCCATACATACACGCATGCAAACAGGCGTTGAGTGCGCATACGTGCGAAAACGACAATTGCGCCCATTATCCCGCACATGTTACATATCGTCGCGAACGTCGAAATGAGAGCAATAATTCTAAGGCTATCAATCAATGATAACACTAAACTGATGAGCGGTAAAAGCTTTTAAAGTGTCGCCAATGGTCAATTTTGGGTATGGTAGTTTTTTGCGATTTCGCTGATGCGCGCAATTTTAACGCTTGACATGTTTGGTGTCTATTTACCCGACGTGACCCCGTCTTTTATATTTTACCAAAAATATGGGTAATAATCATTGTTTCCTAATATAATAGAAAAAAAACGTTGTTTTCAAATTTTTTATAATTTTTCCTTAATATAGTAAAAAATAAAACCCCCAGTGGTGATTAAATACCACCAAAAGAAAGCTTTATCTGTTCCCAAAAAACGGTATAAAATTCATTTCAGTACAGCGTTGCATGACGGAATAAATGTCATTCAAAGTACCGCAGGGCTGAATACTGAAAAATGGCCTGGCCAGGAAGGGGGTCTAAACACCTGGTCTTGAAGTGGTTAATATAGTACTTTATGTATTTGAGGGGTTTGACCTGGTGAAGTATCTCGAGAGTGATCTTTATGTCAAGACTTATGCCGGTTTCCCTACTGTAAAATAAATAGGTCAGGTGTGGAATGCGGCTAAACATTTGTTGCGAGTGTCTGGGCCCACAGGCTACACGCCCTTGTGGAGAAACGGCAACCTACCTGAACTTCTTCCACTGGAGGGGTTTCAATCCTGGCATAGAGCAGGTATTTATACTGTCAACTAGCTATACCAGGAAGGTGCTCTCCGCTCATTCCACTGCCTTCAGACTGAATTTCATTTACATAAAAACTATTATTTTGGGTACCTCCAGGTGTGTCATGCACTTCGATCACAGTTCTCCCAGGGGCTCCAGGTTTCTCCCCTACACCAATTTTTGACTCGTTGCTTTCTGATGTAAAAACTAAGGGTTTGATGTCTTTTATCTATTCTCAGTTTATGATCATATCTGCATCTCAATGCTCATTGCCATGCAGAAAGGGATGGGAAGATGATTTGGGCGCTGATGACATTTGGAATGAGGTCCTGGAGAATATTTCCCAGGTGTCCCTCTCAGCCACTCACAGGCTGACGCAATTATTTGTGGTCCACACGATATACCGCACTCTGGAAATTCCTTTTTAGAATAGGATACCGAGACGACCCCTTCTGCCCTAAATGCGGATTCCACCAAGGATCCCTGATCCACCTGCTGTGGCGCTGCCCTAAGCTAGTGCGCTATTGGCTAGAGGTCGTCCGCACCCTCAATTCTGTTTTTAATGTCCAGTTGGTTTCCTCCCCCCAGATTGCCTTTTGGGTGTCTTTGATGATCCATAAATTGATTCCCCCCTATTGTTGGCTCTCAGACGAGCACTTTTCACCGCCACTCGCATTAATTTACGTAAGTGGATCTCATCGTCCCCTCCTACAATCTCTAACTGGATGGTGGAACTGGATAGAGTTATAGAATTTGAACGTGTTACCTACCAGTCAAGGGAATCAGAGCACCGTTTTTATTCAATTTGGTCTAAATGGTTGTTTTTCCACCCCACGGCGTTGTCTACTTGATTCCCCTCATACAAGCTGCTGGCACTATATACACTCATCTCTCACAATGACAGTACTACCCTGTTAGCACATATGCGTCAGGTGTCCCATCAGTACCCTGATACCTTCTTTCTTTATGCTTGGTTCAGTGTGAAATAGAAAGGACTGAAGTGATAGATATATCCCTGTGGTAGGGGTTCACTGCTGTTAAGTTTTTTTGTTTTTATTTTTCTCTGTTCAGGTTTTTATTTTTTCTTTATGTTTTTAAAAAAATGTTATTCTTTATATTATTTTTTTTACCGATCTGTATGTCCGTTTTATTTCCATGCTTATATTTGCAGTAATATGAGACTGTAAGATCTTGTTTTCGGTTTGCACTATTTCATGGATGTATAAAACTGAAAATGTCAATAAATACTATCTGATTTAAAAAAAAAGAGAGATTCCTCTTAACTTACTCTTGTGCCACTTGGATTGGAAATTAGATGTGCTACATAAATACTGGAGTAATATCTGTTTATAGAATGACAATCTCTAATTAGAGACAATAATAGTGCAATCTTTTGTTTTGTAGTAAGCAAAAGAAATTGCACATGACAATAGGATAACATCTTTAACTATGTAAATGGCATTGATTGTGTGACAGTTTGTTTTGTTAGGCAATCTGTTGGATTAATTACTTCCAGAGCAGGTGATAGTGTGTACGTCACATTATTGTTTCCATGTAAATGTCCTGTACATTCAGTGATACACAGAAGTTGCACAGAGGTATTCTAATATACAGTTCAGTTTAGGAGGGAGGGGCAGTTGTCTTAAATGGGGAAATAAAAAAAAAAATTACAGAGAGCATTTATTAAAAACTATAAGGAAGAAAAAAAATATTATAATATTGAGAATGAAAATAGTGTTATTTAAATGAATAAGGACAGAAATGTATGGTACTGTAAAAGAAAACAAATACTTTGGAGTTAGTTGTATCATCAAGATATATGTAATACAATGAAATACAAGCCAGAGGCTTTCACTGCACTCATGCATCTGAACAATCTTCCATTTTTTTGGAAATCATTCCATCTGCATCAAACTGAACTCCATGTGATGTACAAGATAAGCAGCAACTGGTTAAATTGCTCAGCTATATCAGAAAAAATACTAGTACATTATCCTGTATAAGTATTACATGGAATCAACCACGAGAGGGAGTAACAACAATGCATATCCTTAGTGTACATTATAAACACACTAACTGGCACTGCATTACAACTTGCACTTCCATATTATAAAGAAACATTTTCAAATAAAAGTAGTGTCTCTGGAATGAAAGAATAACAGGATTCATCTGTTTGTAAATTCATATTTCATATGTTGTCAGGCTGCAAAAGAAAAAAAAATAATATTACTGTGTGTGTGTAAATGTAAGTTTCTCTATGGCACATAACAAATCATGAAAATAATCATCATATAAATAACAAATCAAACTCTTAATAATAACAAATAATAATATATCATATGAATGTAATATAAATATAAATGAAACGAGAAAAAGAAGAAGAAAATATACCTAGCTTAGAAAGTAACTGACTATATAAGTATAAAATCTAAGAAATCACAATCTGAAACTATACAAAGATAATTTCTTTCCCCCTTTAATTACAAAACTATATGTAAAATAAATAACTTTACACAGTAAGTGCATGGAAACATACTAAAACCATGAAACTGTTGCCATTCCTGGACTCCATAAATTATTATACATGCTACCAAAGTACTACCAATAATGTAAATATATTTGTCCTGATGCAATGCAAATGACAGTCAAACAATAAGAAGGTAGCAAAGTTCACACATCATAACCACTTTATTTGTGTCTGTGAAGGTTCTCATTCATCCAGGTCATGGTATATCTGAATTGAGAAAGCTGGTTGGATAACCAAAAAACGTCTTCAAGTCCAGTTGCCTTGACTTATATTTCTTACCGATACACTTTGTTTGTGTTCATTCCTAATAAATATCCATTATAGATTGTGAAAAAAAAACTGGGTGAAAATCATGCTACATATGTGCCCAGAAGAAATCTGTTCCCCTACGATTTTCTTACCTTTTGAACAAAATTATACTCACCTGAGTTCCCCCATCCAGATCCCTCACCGTTGCTGTTTTTGCTGTCAAGGACGGCTAATACAGCGCTGCACCATAATCCTCGCTGGCTGCCCCCACCCCCCCTCGGACTGATGTCTGCAGTCCTCTGCATCCTGAGAGGACACCTATGGTGGACAGCCAATGGGAATTATCCATGTCACACAGGCAGAGACATGGACACCCAGAAGAAGGATCCAGCATGATCATGAATTAAGGTTAACATTTTTTTTTTTTTTTTACAACCTAGCAATTAGCAGGGGTGAGGGATGGGAGGTTTTTTATTTTTATCCTGGAGTTGAGCTTTAAAATATACATTGAATTAGAAAGTATCTTGTATAATATCGGTTTCTTTAGTCTAGGATATAAGTGGGATCCTCTCTATATATACAGTATATTGATATTGGTAAATAAATATTGTTGCCATTTACCTGTATTAGGATCCTGTGAGACCCACAAAATGCATCTTTTAGATCACATATTGCATTACAGAAGCAAATAATTACTTGTAAAGCACTGAGAACAATTTGGATGGAGAATAAGATGAGGTTCCATTCTACCACATTGCCAGGTTCTATACACTGTGACCACGTGGAAGAATCTGAAAGATACCTATAAAAACACAAAGAACCAGGAAGGTTATATTATTATAATAAATGTGTGTGTGCAACCATATTTATTGTCTTCAGAGCATGCAGTAGAGGGTTTATGTCCTCCATTGTATCATCACCTAAGACTACTAAGATCTGGCCATTTCCACTAGCAAATGTGGTCGGCCCACTCAAGGATGCCTGGACCAGATTTGTAAAAAGGCCATATGGGCAACAGAGACAGGCAGAAAAACTTTGGCAGGGGGTTGAATGGTGCTCCGTGTTTCATTATCTGAACACATTTAACTCTTTTGCAAGCATTCAACTGTCACACAAATCAATTAAAATAATGTTCTGTATGCTATTTTCTACCGTTTTCTGGACACTGTACGAATGTATGTTTTCATAAGTAAGTTAACATTGCATGAATGGGGGGAACACTATTTAAAGATTGGCCCTGGGGGTCATACAAGGAAAAAACAAGTACTGTTAGTAAACTGGTAAGGAGTAGTGAGCACCGAGATGAGAAGAGAAATGACAAGGTACTCTTGTGTGTCTTCTTAATTTTAGAGGGACACCATCAGTATGTTTCTTCTTTGTCAGGACAACTGTTGTTTTACAGTAGTAAATGTTTTTATACTTTTGTATGTATGAAAATAATGCCGTACCCCCCTGGAGTGCTGATAAATGGGTACTCCCATCCATTTATTGTCTTGCAGTATGGACCTTGTGCTATGGCCAGAGCGGAGATGATCAAAGTATAAGCTGAAAACAACACACCCAGGGCAGCAAATGTCATGGATACCAGCTTCTGAAACACAACAATACAGTAGAGTTTGAAGTAACTGTTTGACTTCAACAGAACATCTATGTATATTTAACTGGAGGATTTTCAAACATAGAGAAAGAAAAAGAATATTGTGTTGCCAGTAGGAACTACAATGTAGTACATTTTCTAGGCCAAGGCTTTTTGTGTAGAGCTTTATGGTTGTCTCTGTTTGAAATGGCCCAATAGTCCCACTACATTTCCTCTGTTACATGCATCAGCTGCCCTCTGTAAAAGGTCAAAGATGCTATTAACAATGTTTCCTCAATGGCGAAGTTGGTTACTAAGTTGTACTCTGAAGCATGTTATAGTTTTAGGGCCCATTAAGAATATGTGTTTTGCGTTAATGCACCTGTGTTAACACAATGTTAAGATTCACAGAAGTGACTCATTTTGTAATTCATTCAGCTACATTTACTTTGGTCATGGGATCAATGTTGGTGTGAGCCTGTGATTTCAAAGTTTTAATAAGCGCAGCATGACACATTTTGCCCTTTCATGCAATCAATAGTTGTGCCATGATATGCGTCTGTGTTTTGCTTTGTGGAACAAACTGCAGATTCTGTAATAAATATAAGTCTATGTGCACAGTATAGTGTTAACCCAAAAGCCTAACTATAACTTAAAGCCTATCTTTGGGGGGAAAAACTGCCCTTGTAGTGGGACTATCCCGGCACTGTAAGGGTTAACTGCCCATTAATGTCTATGGGACCTGTGTAAAGGATATTTACTTACCTGATCTGCCCTCCTCCTGCACCCCTCTCCCCTACTCTCTGGCTTATGGACTGTGCCTCTGTGTCCTGACGTATAATGCAGGGCTTTGGGTCATGCGTTAGATGTGATAACATTAGTGGGCCTCCAACCGCCATAGCAGAGGAGGGAAAATACTGTGGGTGCCAGTCCTGGAGTTTGCGGGAGAGGGAATCAGGTAAATAAAAGTACCTTTCACAGCTCCCCTAGAGAAACATGAGCAGTTAACCCTTGCAGGGGTGTTTTTTTTTTACAAACACTATCTTGCTTGATGTGGAAAATTATTGAAAATGAAAAATAACTGTCCCTCACCACCTGTGTTAAAATAGCTGCAATGAAAACGAATGATCCAAATCAATCAAATGTTTCCTTTGTGGAAGGCAGATATTTTTTTCTTCCTGCACTATAAACAAGGTCCATGTTCAAATTTAAAGTGGACCTTTATCCTCTTTCACTAAAAATCACATAAGTATGCAGCTTTGCGTGCTGATACTGTATAAAATCATCTTACATTCATTAGATATACAAACATATTTTATATTGACTTACAAAAAGAGTTCATCTACTTCCTGGTCCACTTTGGCACAAATGATGTAATCTGTGCCCAAGCATTGCATTCTGGGAAGGTTACATCAGCAGAGAATTGCTGGCAACTCTCATCTGTAATCTCATGAGATGTCAGGGAAAGGCATTTTCCTCCACTGAGATGTTGTGCATGGTCACATGTCCTAGTCACATGTGCCAGAGTTCCAGGAAGTAAAGGTAGATATATTAACCCTCCCTTCGTAAAAATGGCCACTGTGAGAAGAATAGGGAGGAAAAGAATAACAAGGTACACAAAAATGGAAAAGCTTGAAATTATCTATTAGTATGTGTTTGTAGATTGTCATTACTAACATTTCTAAAGGTGCCTTTGTTGTTATTTTAAAGATATGGATAAAGTTACTTTTTATGGAAAAAAAGGTAATAGATCAGATCTGTACTTACTGGAAAATGTACATAATATCTCTTTTTCCCTGAGTGGCAAGGAGTACAGCATTTGTAGAAATCCACCAGTAAAAGTGTTGTGGCTATAATGATCATCTGTAATATATAAAAGAAATGTATGTGAGGCAGATATATAAGTGTTGTATGTGCTGCATTAAAACAAAAAGGTACATGACCAGTTATTGTTCCTTTGCTGGTAATTTCCAGCCCCTAGAAAATGAATGGGCTGCCTTAATGCCCATCTCCAAACAAAGCTCTCCACCTTCCCATACCTCTCTAATACCCTCCCCTCACCCATTCAGCATATTTAAAAAATAAATTACCTTTTAATGCTTATTTTATTTAGCTTACTTCCCCTTTCATGTCCCTCCAGTGGCAATTCCGGGAAGGATGGCCAGTGGATTTGTTAGAAATTGTTTCTTGAATGACCCTTATGTTTTTAAGCGTCTTAAGGTGATTATATAATCTTCATAAAATCATGTCCAGTTGAATGAAAACTTGTGACTTTAATTATATAGCGTAAAGTCAATAGCATGCAATGATATAGCACAAATATATAAACAAATGAATAATTAATATATAGTTCAAAGTTAATGTAGAGTGATCCCTGAGGTCACCTCGTGTAAAGTCTTGTAAGTGTTTCTGGCTTGTTAAGATTCAAGACAAAAATAGTCTTCAACAGCCATAATAGCAAAGTCTTCTTATTCTTGTGACGTGAATGTCGTATGTAGCGCGACGATGTAGTGCGTGCTTCCTTAAAGGTTCCCTCTCCTTATATCCATATTCTTACTTTAAAATAACTAGAAGCTAACCTTATAAAGTCATATATCTTGAAGTTCTATTCTCACTATACATTGACGTAATGACGTAATGAGGTTCTATACTCTCAATATGGCTTTATCAAACTACTAAGTCATGTAAATGTCAACTTGACATACTTCAACCTATTTTAAAAAGCACAAATCTACTCTTTAGACATTCGTAACAGCTGTTCACACTAATATACTCTCATGTTCTGACATCAGATTTCAAGGACAAAAAGAAAAATGGATGTCTGTCTATTCCAAAGTACGAGGTCATATATGTTAAATCATGGGCCCATTCTTTTATTCCTCTTATGCCAAATCATATTTGAATCTACGTATTTTTTAGGATTCAGCATTTCAGTTGATGCCTGCACCTACCAATCCCACTGGACAACCCATTGGAAGTGTTTAGGTCACACAGGTAGCAATATGGACACCTCAAAAAGCACCCTTCTCTTCTGCAGTGAAGAATATAGAAAACATGAACCCCTCATGTCATGTGACCACAGATTAAGGCAAGTAATTAATGATTATTTGCACCTCACCTGGTAACATACTTAAATTTAGCTCCAATCCAGCAATGCTTGGCTCCACAAGGCATATTCAAGGAAGGTTTTGGAGGGAGTCCTAGCTTGATGAGTGACTCAAGTATGCTGTGAGTGAAGAGCTGCATCCATGAAGGAGAGGACATGGGAAAGTGCAGCGCTATATAAAGTATGGATATTTTCAGCACATGCATCTTGTGTGTTTCATGTTTTTTTTTAGATGCACTAATTGTTTATATGATCGTGAAGAACAATTCAAACAGACATGGTTTTACTGGCATGATTACATCCTCACTCAGGAATATGATAAGCTTCTGCAAGAACCTCACCTGAGGATTCTATGTCAAAAAGTGAGATGGTTGCTGATCTGCCCCCTACAGCTGGCATTCCCTCTTTGATAAACCTATATCTACTAAAAATGCTTAAAAAAAAATTACAAACAGGAAACCTTTAGTTACTTTACTGAAAATGGTCAACAATGTGCATTAAGATGCCTGTGCTTTCTTGTATGCAGATATCTAGTTTGGCAAGTCTCACATAGTAAGCGCACACGTGTGAAAAGACCTTTTGGAAGTAGTTTTGTTTCATATAAAATACAAACTCCAATCTAAGCATACTAACATGATTTAGGTTTTCCTACACTTAGGCTATTTATAGAGGGCCTGTTCTCAAATGTACACTGTCATAATCCCTCATAATAACCATATCGATCTAGAAGCTTGTAAACTTATTAAGGATGCCCATAGGATGTACTTCCTCATTGCACTGACACAATTTTTCGCTCAGCCCTGTGAATATGCACTTCCTTGTGTCATCACTCTCACAGAACCTGCCTTTTGAACTCCAACTCAACTTCTGAACAATGTAACATTATCATTGGTTGCTGAAAGCAATGCATTATGGGCTATGTAGTCTTGATAAATCGTTATTGCAACACATCAAGCAGCAGGGAAAGAGACCCAAAGCACACTGAAAATCCAGGACTTTGCTGAAATTGATGGGCAGACAGAAGGCAGCACCCCCTACATAAAAGGGATTTTTTCAAGCAAACTTTTATTGCATTATCTAAAACAATTATAGTATGTATTACAATGCTAATGTTATAACAGGATAGTATATGCTGGGACTTTACTTGTATATTTGAAGGGAGATCAGCAGTGGCAGTTATTGCATTTTTTTATAACAAGTTTACTTATTGTGCTATCAATATCAAGGTGAGGTTTTTTTTATATTAATATTATCGTTAATATTTTATTTATAAACTTATTTGAAGGAAATTAAAAATTTCCATCTCAAGAAAGACCAAATGAGTCTATCAGCGTTAAGGGCAGGTTTTCCCTATAATTCAAGTCCCGGAACAAGACCACTTGGTGTGCATGTACCTCAGATTGACCACTAGGTGGCAATGATACTGTAGAGGTTTTTTTTATTGTAACGCATGTTTGATTACACTTTCAGTTTTACCAAGTAAATTGTCTTCTGATAACTTGCATTGTGTAAAAAGAGTAGGAAGAATTATAAGAACCATGAACAGGCATAAACTAGGGTACACACTGGCAGATTTTCGAACGAACGTTTGTACAAAAAAATCTCGTCGTAACATTTCATAATGCAATCAGACACTTGAAGAATGTTGTTCAAAATTTTGTTTGATTTTTCGTTTCAATGTAATATTTGATTTTGGAATGAATGGAGTTTCCCGAAAAAACACATTCACTGTTAAAAACATTTTTGATGGAGAAATATTTTCCATTCTGCTCATTTGACTTTTTTCATCACTGCAGTTGAAATAAATCATCAATTTGACCCCATCAACTATTAGAAAGTCGAACAAATGTTCCGAAATAAATTTCATCCATACAAAATTTTACCCTTCTATACCCTCCTTTAGCACAAGCATAATATAAGTTTCATCTGTCACTTTTCTGGACAAAGTAAAAATAAACTATTAGAATTGCTGCTGTAAAAACATTATCAATTCTTATTTTAACTAGTTTTTCAGCTAAGCCCCTACAGAATTTAATGAGCATATTATAATGCCGGACTTTGGGCACCGCCAGAACAATTTTATAAGCCAATAAACTTGTGTATCAATTTTTTTAAAAAAAATTCAATTTCAATAATATATACAGTATTCAGAACATTTATAGAAGTCTCTGCGGTCTAACCTCATCCTAACATTGGACTAGCTACAGTAAACTCCCAGTTATCTGGCACCCATGGGGATTGGTAGATGCCTGATAACTGTAGTTTCTAGTTGCTTTAGAGTTACTATTAACTCTCAAGTAACCCCCTCCCCCCATGCCCTTTCTCTCTCACGTCCGCATTGACAGCAGGCAGTGGGTGGGTGCAATACCCAGCCTGCTATTGCAATATGAAATAGCCAATAGCAGACTGGCTATTGCTCCTGGCGTTGTTTACATTCAGCTGCCACCTGCAGAATCTAGGCACCGGCTGGCAGCAAGATGTAAACAGAGAATTTGTTAGCAACTAAATGTATTTATTATTTTGTTTTAGCATGTACATGTCTATCAAACAGCCGGCAAAAAAAATTGAGGACACATTATGTCCTCGATTTTTTTTTTTGCCGGTTGCTTGGGAGTGCCAGTTGCTTGAATGCTGAATACTGGAGAGTTTACTGTACATGGTAATAGTCAACATCAAGCTCATCATCATAGTCATTGTCATACATACAGCTAAATATTGTTTTACAACAAGTGCTGGAACTTCCAGGTGGATGTGGATGACACATAACCAAAGAAAGAGTTAAACAGGCCACAGGCCACTGTCTGTTCCTCCAGACAGTCTCATGCTAACCTGCACAATAGGTTTCACAACCCCGCAGCTCCCTGCTGCACTGGCCTCCACTCTGACTCCTGGGTGGAGTTCTCCTGACTCACAGGTGGGGCCCAGAACATTAGCCAGCACCCATTCCATAAGGGCTGTGCACAGGTGTGCAATTAGGAGCTGGCCACTACTAAATGATGGACCCAGGAATGGAGATTTCATCCCTCCCAATTCTTATAGAAATCTCCCAGTTCCAGGATCCCATGCCAAATCCAGAAATCCTGGGAAGAGCCGCAAAGTCAGCTCTTTCCCAGTAAAAGAACTTGCCTCCTGGAAACGCTCAGCATCTCTGGCTGAGAGTCCTGGGTGACTACAACCCTCAGTTCTACCATAGGATTGCCACACAATATACACTGAGTGGCCAGATTGTTATGACCACCCCATCAGTTCTTCGTTGGGCCACGAGATAACTCCACGAGATGACTTCGTTGGGCCGCCTAGTACCTTAACCCACTGGAACGTTTTTATCTTATGTATAACAGACCTGCAAACAATGGCATTAAAGACCCAAATTTGTCTAAAGCGGACAAATGTCGCTGAAGGCTAACAGAGGAGAACCTTGATCCTTTGCTAAGGCCCAGAATACCTGGGACAGTCTCACATTTCTGTCCTGTGTCCCAGGATCACAGCGTCATCCTTATTTGAGTTGAGAGCATGCACAACAACTCAATAAAGGCTATTAGCCAAGGGTATTGCAGCCCCCGAGTGGGTGTTTACCGCGTAATAGTGGGATCACACAGAAAATAGGTAAAATCTAGGTCACCCCAGAGCACAAAGGGATAAAGGTCCTCCTATGAGTTTAGGTCTGGGCCAAATGACTGCTTGTTCTCTTCTTCCTTAGTTGTCCCTCTTATTGCTTTGATAGATAGAGTTCTATAAAAATGTACTATTTAACTATCAAAAGTATTTTCCTGCACAAAACCTTTTATCTGACCTCTAAATGGCTGTATTTGTTATTTTGTTGAGCCCGGATAAAGGAAAAGGGGTAAGATATGTATAGATTCTCTGTGGTCTAAACTTTCATCCACACCTAGACGCTTTGTCGCTTAAAACTAAGTGTGACAAAACACTCAAGGAATCCCATGTATTTCTGTGGCCCCTGTTCACACCTGAGCATTTTGTCCCAAGCAAAAAAAAATACCTGTATTTGGAAAAAGTACATTAACTACTTTTTGGCAGATTACAGTGCTTTGTTTTTCAATTGGAAAGACAGTACCTGAAAATGTGCGTTTTAAGCATTTTCATGTGTTTTGTTGCACATTTTTGTTTCACTTGTTGGATTTGGTGTGGGGACACACTGGGGGCATCATCTGCCATTGTGATGTGCGGGGCTTCTGGTGTGTCCCTGCGCCTTTAAGGAGGTTGGGCTACTTCCTGGTGAACCTGCACCCAATTCGTCCTTTGCTATATATGCTCCAAGATGGAGGCTCATATATATTAGATTAGAGGGGCCTTGATGAGGCAGAGTGGCTTCCACATTTTGCAAAAGTTGTACAACTAAAACCTCTGTTTTTAACCCTCTTTTAGCCCCTAGGCAGTGTCATTTGTACAGGCCAGCTGGTAAGTGTGCAGGGAAATTATTGCTTTTGTTGCCCGTTTGGTTGCACAAAGTTTCCCGTTGATGTTTATGGGACCAAAAAATGGTGTAACCTGCCAAAAAGTAGCCCATGTACTTTTTCCAGCGACAGGCGTTTTTCTGCTTGTGACAAAACGCTTACAGGTGAACAGGGGCCATAGAAACGAATGGTATTCTTTGTTTTGAGCATTTTATCGCGCTTAGCTTTGAGCATCAAAATACCTAGGTGTGAATGGGGACTAAACAAGGGGAACGTGGCAAGACGTGTCCTGCATTGTGCTAGAATGTGTCCCTCCTTCCCATCCAAGGCTATATTCACACCTAGGCGATTTATCAATACAATATTGCACAAAACAGAGATTTGGATTAAAGTCTATGAAAGCTGTTCACACCTTTGAGATTTGTTGCGCGGTAGAAATCGCCTGTAGCGCAAAAAGGTGCAGGAGCTATTTTCAGGCGGTTGTCGTGTGGTTTGGGTCCCATGGACATCTCTATGCGTTGAAAACCGTGTGACAACCGTGCGATTTTTAAAGCAAAAGTGCGCAAACAAAAAAGCATGACAACCACTCAATTGCCTAGGTGTGAACCTAGCCTCAGAGAGTTCAGAGATATAGTAAGGCCTGGTATTATTTACTATCATTCAGCTCAATCAGTGTTTAAAAAGAATAAAAGAGAAAGAGTCGAATTTACTAAAGGAATTGAGAATAAATACATTGCAGGAATATTCACTTTCATGATCCAGGCATGTGCAGATGAAATTAGTAAACAGGGTTTTTCTCTTCACATGATTGAATAATTGAAGTGAATCTTTACACATTTGTTATTGTGTGAATATTCTAAACTTCTCAGCATCTTGTATATTTAAGCTGGTCATACACTGAGCACATTTTGGCCATAGCTTAATGAAAATTTGCTCAGTAGATGGCCCTGTTGGCAGTCTCCTGCCTGACAACCTTTGATCTCAAAATCCAGCTGGGAAGAAACTCTTTGGCCGAATAGTGACAGCAAAAACACTGTTCAGGTATTTTGATAGCAGTGGGCACCGGCTGTCAAAATACAATAGCTGGAGTAGGAGAGTTGTCCATCCTCACCGTTTAGCATGAATGGAGGAACCTGTTAGATGCTTTCTACAGCTCGCAGGCTGAACCCAAAAAAACATCTAACAGTGTATGGCCGGCTCAAGTGAAATGCTGCAGTTGTATCCCCTAGCTATAGCCAAATCTTGGTTACAGCTAAATGATAGTGGTGGTCAACTGCAAAAAGTAATGGTAATGTCCTAAAATGATGTTAAAACATGCCTTTGTAGGCTACATTCACACTTTATGGGATTTGAAGCGTTTATAAGCATTTACAAATATTTTCTATATACGCATGTATATGCATGTAATGATTTCCAATGGATCTATTCACACCTTGCATTTAGATGCTCTTATCTGCAGACAGTATATCTGTGTCATATGTGGCTAGGAATTGATTTAAACTTCTAAACCCAACAACATGTGTGTAAACACATTTAAACACATGTACACATGTTTTGATGCTAGGATTTGGTACCTGGTGCATCTAAACGCATGTGCATGTAAATGGACATAAACCCGTATAAACGCCCATCCCATCATTAAAAGTACATGTGTCAAACTCAAGGCCCAGGGGCCGAATCCGGCTCTCCAGGCCATTTCCTGGACTTCTACTTTCAGATCTAGGTATTAAGTTATTACTAAAACCAGTGATAATCAAATGCAGAGGCAATTATGATAAAGATTAGATACATTTATATAGTCTTACCTTACCTTTGAGGGCAACCATAATGTTGATGCGGCCCACGATTAAATTGAGTTTGACACCCGTGATTTAAAGCATCTAGAAGCGTAAAAACAGCCTCTAGTATGACAGATTTCTTTCTGCATATAGAGCACAAAAAAACAAGCGGCAAGTGTGAATGAAGCCTAATGCAAACGAGTGACAGACTATACAGTACTTACCATTATACCCCCAAAACAGATTCCTTGAAAGTACCAGACATAATTGGTGAGCTGGTTGTTTGCTGCATATGTTTTATCTCCATTAGGAAAGTATAGCAGGATATTGATAACAATGTTCCATACTGCCAATGGGATGAGAGCTACGATTGAATACACAGAACAGCTCTTTGGAAACATGATCAGATGGCAGTGAATGTGCCGGCCTGTCTGGTGAATATCTCTGTGCCTCCTTCACCTTCTCTAAGGACAGGGCGGTTGCTGAGATATTTGAACAAACAATTCAGGCTCTTAGTAACTTCACAAAATCAAACAGACACTTAACTGATAGTGGCAGCATTCCTCGGGGCTTGTGTAATCACAGGTACAGGAGTTGTACTACCAGTTTAAAGGAAGCCTGTGAGGAGAATAGGCCTGCTGCTGCACAGTGGGGACTATAGTGTGCCTACTTAGAAAGTGCATCTCTAGGCACAATAATTGTTTTCAATTATTGGGTTGCATGAATAAGGGTTAGACCAGGGGTGCTCAACCTTGGCATGTCCCATGAGCATTGCTAGACCCTGACAGCCACACGCATGACTCCCAGAGGCAGAGACATGATGGGATTTGTAGTGTCACTACAGCTGCAGCTAGGTGTGTCCCCATAATGAGGCAGCCTCAGGTGACATCTCATTGAGGGGGCAGCAGGCAGGGCAGGACTTACTCTCCCTGCTGCCCCAAGGCCAGGCTCCGCAATGAGGGGGTTTAACACCGCGGATGTCAACTGGTTAAACATAATTATATGCATGAGTGATTATAGCACCATAACCCCACACCGCTTTAAAAACTGACAACGTTGTCTTGTCATTCATGTGCAGACATTCACTCCTGAAAGGTTATCCCTCAAACCACAACCTGCGTATATGTAACACACCTGTGGATTAAATCCCATAAGCATGTGTTTTATCGCCCAAAAACATCTTAATGATTCAGTTTCAAGATCAGTCCTTTCATTATTTAGATTGCCCACAGGATGACAGCCAATCATTACCTCCCTGGCGGTATGATTTTTATGTAATTTTTCGGTGTATTTTTCCTACAAATTTTTTTCGTCTTTGTCGTTTTTTTCATTTTTTTTATATCCCACCGGTTCCGCCCCCTGCGACGCGTACGCTCACAAAAGACGGAAGCTGGAAGCCGGCATCGGCCGCAGAACACAGCACGGCTCGAGGGACAAGGTAAGTAAATGCTATGGTAGCCAGCATAACGTATAGTCCCAAATGCTTCACACAGTGTTTGATTTCAGCCTCCATATGAGAAGATCTTTTTGATATATCGGTGTGATTAATATTGTTTCGTAATGGGTACTAACCGGTTTTCCCCTTGTATGCAGTGTCCAGCGTCTGGGAAGACGAATAATCCATTCAGGTTGTTGTCTTTGAATCCATGCTGAATCTTTCAGTGTCCTCCCCGGTGCTTCAGGATAACCCAAACAGACATAGATCCGAAAACGTTGACGCGTTTCGCCCCTCCTCTTGGGGCTTCGTCAGGACGTAGTCATGGGGTAGAGGTACGCCCTTTTATAGGTAATTCCCTCATCCATTAACCCCCACTGGTTTCACACAAGTATTTCACTATTTGGCGTGTAGGCTACACATGATTACTTTCATATAATTCATTCATAAGTGATTCAAACTTTAAAAACCAAAGATAATTCTTACTCATTACCATTGCTATATGTAATTGACCGTTACAACTTGAAAGTACCAAGTAATTTGATATTTCAATGTGTATCTATTACATTGAGTGTATAAGAATGGAGTCTCTCACTTTACTTATAAAAAGACATGTAAGTTAAACTCCGTGTTTAATCCTTTTGGGGTTAGGGTATCCAGCTTATACATCCAAATTTTTTCTTTTTGTTTAAGGATTCTGTCAAAGTCCCCCTTCTTGCTGATAAATTTAGCACATAGATTCCCTTCACTTTTAAAGCTTCCGGGTTTCCTTTGTGATATTTACAGGTATAAAAATGTTGGGCAATAGGGCTATCAATTTGTTCTGTTTTTTATGGTAATTTTTTATATCCCTAAGATGTTTTCCCAGTCTTACACGTAGTGGACGTTTCGTCTTACCAATATAATATTTGCCACAAGGGCATTCCAGTTGGTAGACAACCCTGCTTGTTGTGCAATTAATACATTGTTTTATATTATAGCTTTTCTTCCCATCGCTTGTATGGAAGGATTTACAGTTTTGACTCTTTTGTTATTCAACCATGTTACTCTTGTGCTTGATTTGTATTCTGAGGAGGCTAATTGGTCCCGTAAATTGCAAGCTCTGCTGGCTACTAGTTGGGAACATGGGCCCACCATTCCTCCCAGGGTTGGATTCAAGTGTAGTATGTGCCAGTGTTTACGCAGAATTTTTCTTAATTCCTCCCATTTTGAGCCATATTGTGTTATCATGCGGACCGGGCCCACAAAATTCTTGCTTTCTTGTGTTTTTACTCCTTCGCCTAGGATCTCTGTTCTGGTTCTCTTATTAACCTTATTTTTACTCTTGCTCAGGGTTCTGTGCGGGTATCCCCTCTCTCTGAATCTGTTATACATTTCGTCAGATTCTCTCCTAAGGCTAGGGAACAGTTTCGTTTGACCCGTAGGGCTGGCCAGTGGGAATTCCTTGTATCAGGGTTTTCGGGTGGTGACTAGTGGCGTGTAAAATGGTATTCGCTGCTGTTTTCTTTCTAAAAGTGCTGGTTATTAGTTCCTCATTTTCTATCCTTATTAGAAGATCCAGAAAGGGGATTTCATGTTGGCTTGCCTTGTACGTCAATCTTATATTTTTATTGTTAACATTAAGTTCACGCACAACATTTTCCAGACTTTCCTGTGAGCCCTCCCAAATCATAATGACGTGCGCATGGCTCAGATACAAATGATTAACGTACACATCCTCTGTCTCCCACATGCCCAGTGCCCAGGGTGCTCCCATGGAGGTCCCCTTTATTTGTTTATAGTATTGACCACTGAATTGGAAGAAATTATTATTGAGGGCGAAATCCAGAAGCTCACCTATAAATTCATTTTGGGGCTCAGCCAATGGGCAGTGTTGCATAAGGGAATTATAGACTGCTTTTAATCCACAATGATGGGGTATGGATGTATATAAAGACTCAACGTCTATCCCCACTAGGAGGCATCCTTCTTTAATCTTCCTTTTGTGAAGTTTTCGGAGTACATCTCCCCTGTGCTTCACATAGGAGGGTAATTTGATGACTAAATCCTTAAGAAGTGTATCCAGGTATTTTCCTAGTTTTTCTAGAGGGCCACCTACTGCTGAGGCTATGGGTCTCTCCGGGGGGGGGGTTGGATTTATTTTTATGTATCTTAGGTATGATGTAAAAAGTAGGGATGTTGTATTCTTTTATTTTTAAGAATTTAAATTCTTTAGTAGACAGTAATCCCGCCTCTTTTCCTAGGTCAAGTTTAAAATTAAACTCAAATACCAAGTTTTGAAAAGGGGAACTGTCTAGTTTTTCATATGTTTGTTTATCGGAGAGGAGACGTTTAACCTCCCCAACATACATATCCTCTGTTAATAAGACCACATTCCCTCCCTTAGCACTCATCTTGATAATAATACCCAGCGTTTCCCGTAGTTCCCGTAGGGTCCTCCGTTCTGATTTTGAGAGGTTGTCCTCCCCTTTTACTGACCAATTGGTCAGTTTAAGATCCTTTGTTACTAAGTCCTTAAAAAGGCTCAAGTGTCGATTTGTTGGAGAGATTAGGCATGGTTTGGGACCTATTACATAATTGAGTTCTTCTTATTTCCAGGTGGGATGATGGATCAGATGACCCCAATTCATCCTCTTGATTTCCGTTCAGATCCTCAAGGGCCCGTCGATCCATATCTGATGTTAATGTACTCATCTGTTCGTTCTGTAAGGTTTCCTGATTGGAGTGTAGGTATCTTAAATATATCTTTCTCAGATAGAGATTTAGGTCCTTGAAGATCGTGAACTCGTCCATACCTTCTACAGGGGAGAAGGATGGACCTCTTTTAAGGAGGTTGATGTGATCCATACCTAAGGGGAAGTTTGTTAAATTAATGACTTCATTCCCTGTCCTTGAAAAAGGACATGAGCTTCTTCTGGAGCAGAGTCAAGCAGTGTTCGGCTCACTTCACTTCGGCTCAGTTATTCACTCGGCTGAGTAACCCCCTAAATGTTTAAAGCTGAACTCCGGGATAAGCAAATATTATCTAAATAGAAGGTGCTTGTGTATTATTACTTGAGTCTTGGTGAGTTTTGTGTATTTCTTCCAGATCTGTGCAGTAATCAATTGTGAAAACTTTGCCCCTGTATAGGATCTTCCTGTAATAATGACCAGTCACTGCTGATCTCTCTCCTTGTGCAGGGTGACCGATCTTGTATCCGCCCCCTCCTGTAGTTTTCCGCAGGCAGCCGATACTGGGTGGACTTGCTGGATCCCTCCCACGGCTCTGCACATGCTACGCGGAGCACAGTGATAATGGCATTGCCTCTTTTACAATATAATAACTGGGTTATTTTGGCACACACAAAGTGGATTTATATCCTTTGTGACTGCTGAGGAATACAGTATATTTAAATGAATATTTTTGTGCCTGGAGTGCAGCTTTAATTCTTGCCGTTCATCTGGAAATATTTCAGCTGGGCACTACTTATTACTGAGCAGAGTAGGCTGAGTTTTTATATGATTGATGGAGTGATGCTGCTTTCATGTTGAATGCACAGACTGGGGTGGGTCAGTCATTGAGATGAATTTGCATGGAGAAAATGGGTTCAGAGTCCTGACTATGCTGCAGTCATCACCAGTCCTGAGGAAGTTCCATGTGACAAAACATGTAGGATGGAGTTAGTGGCATCGGGAAATTCTGGAGAAATAGAAGTTAATATTGGGAGTCACTTCTCTGTCACGGCAACACTGGTGCTGGTGAATGAACCCTACAAGGAGGAACACGGAGCTGGTTGGTCGAAGTAGAAATAAGATTGCTTTTGGCACTGTCATGTTACACATGCATTGTGATATGCCTTTAATGTTTATATTTGTTTCCACCCCTCCCCATAGTTCATGCTTTTCTCTCCAGGCTCCACCCTTCTTCATTATATTCTAGTCTACATCTCAGCCACATGTCCTTTGCTGTGTGGATCACATTATGATCTTTTGACCTAGCCTATCTTTTCTGTTGTAAAGATCTGCACAGTTTGGATTAAACTTCTCATCGATCTTCAGGGTGTCATATGGATTGAGTCAACTGTCTGCCAACTCTACTGATATTGGGAGTTACTGACATCTCATTGCAACTGTAAGTTACAGAGATCACACTTTTAATGGTTAGACTGGGGAAGCAGAACAGGGACTAATGATTGGAGATTGCATGAGGGGAAATAAGTTCTGCTGTTGTCACGGGTTATGAGAAGGAGTACATCACAGCACACAGGATTGAGCTAATTGCTTAATGTTATGTTGGACTATTTTGTTTTATGCTTGGGTTATTGTTATTTTATACATGTAAAAAAATGATACATTAGAATATATTTATGTTTTTTAGTCAAGAGTTAGTAAGCATGATTCATTGTAACACTATTTTAAAGGGGAACTCCAGGAAAATGTATTTTTGGAAACACCACAAGGTAAATACTAAGGAGGCACCGATACCGGTTTTTGGGTAACGAGTATCGACATTTTGCTTTCGGTACTCACCGATATGAGTACCAATACCCTTGCGTCCGCTGGCATGGGGCCAGCTTCCAGGGCAATCAGGAAGCCGGGCAACAGGTAATGTATGTCCTCTGACTGGCAGTGCCATGGGGAACATGAAGTCGGCTTCCAGGGCAATCGGGAAGCCGGGCAGTGGGTTATTACTCGCTGCACAGCTTCTTGATTGCCCTGGAAGCCGACTTCATGTTCCCCATGGCACTGCCAGTCAGAGGAAATCTTCCTCTGACTGGAAGTTCTGGTATCGGGAAAGGTATCGGAGCATTTGGGCGAGTACTCTCCCAAATACTTGGTATCGGCACCGATACCAATACCGATACTAGTACATTGCAATACCTCTAATAAAGACTATCCTATATGTAGATAACTGCTGGTTACTGTACAAATCCTAGTTTAAATCATCCCTGTCACTAGCTCTCATTCCTCCTCTTCACAAAATGCCTTGCAAGCAGAGAGGAGAGGGGAGGGGAGAAGAAAAGAATGGTGGGGAGGGGAGCGAAGGAGAGGCGGCTAAGTGACAGTATCTCCCCTTTTCCATTCACAGAGCACCTTGGCTTACCTCTATGCAGACTATCCCCCCTTCAGTCTATCATGAATGCTGATACCAGACTCGTCCACCTCACCAACCACTCAATATCTGTCACCCTTCTCTGCCAATCCTTCCACTGGCTTTGAATCACCAAAAGAATACAATTTAAAATACTAACAACAATGTACAAAACCATCCACAACTCCACCCACTACATCTCCAACCTCATGTTAAAATATCACCCAAACCATCATCTTTGCTCCTCCCAAGACCTCCTGCTCTCCAGCTTCTCGTCACCTCCACCCATGCTCACCTCCAGGACTTCTCCAGAGTGTATTCTATCCTCTGAAACTCCCTACCCTAACCTGTATGTCTATTTCCTACTCTGTCAACCTTTAGGAGATTCTTAAAAACCTATTTCTTCAGGAAGTCTATCCCACCTCTACCTTAACAAGTGAAATGTTACTTTCTCATACAACGCATCCCCAGACAGCTACCACCTTTGGTATCACTTGTCCCTCCCTTTTTGATTGTAACTCTCATTCACTGTTTTGAATTGTATTGTAACTGTACTGTCTCCCTTTATTGTAAAGCACTGTACAAAATGTTGGAGCGCTTTAAATCTGAATAATAAATAATAATAATAATATTTAGTTATTATAAATAACACAGACTGGAGTTCTTCTTGAAGAACAAAGCAGAGGATGACATAATGCTATAATACAGCAGTTACTTAGAAAACAATAGATACTCAGGTGGAAGGATATACATGTTTAATAACTCAATGTATAAAATCACAATCACTCTTGTAATTGTCTTGCATATAATTGTCCAGTAACATTGCAATACTACATAAATACTTCAAACACTGTACTATAAGCATTCTAAAGTGACAAAGTGGAGTTATATTTATTTAATAAAGCTTGTCAACCTCAGCATCTGCTTCATTATTAAATAGCTCATCATTTTATTATAAAAATGTACATTTTACATGTCCAAGGAACACACTTATGAAATACTGAATTCTGTACATTTATATTTACAAGTGAAACATTTTAAATAAAATGGCCCATCTTCTATTTATATCCACATCTTCTGGATCCTACCATCAGCATGCATATGACTGCAAAATAAAAAAAGTAAAGTAAAAAAAAAGTCAATAAATATGTGATTTGTACTACATATAACATGGATCTCAAAGTATAATTCCACCTTTCCCAGGCTATCTGCCAAATTTGATATTGTATGGAAATATTTTTTGTGAATAGCATAACAAATAATGCATAGGCTCCCAAACTAAAATTATTTTTGTCCAATGATAAAGGCTAGAATGAATATTTAAACCATATAGCATCTGGTATTTGGGCAAATAAGAGAGAGCTGCAGCAACAGAACAGATGGTGGTGTCTACCAACATGTAGAAACATATGCCGTTCATGCCTTAATAATGGTGGTCTATGCAGCCCCAGCACATTACACTATCGGGTGTATTTATGAAACATTTGCGGAGGCTTTCGTTCTGCGAAACTCTGTGTACGTGCGTGTTTGGCAAATGTAGGCAAAAATTGCAGTTCGTTTATTTTCTTTCAAGGTCTATTGTAATATCAGGAAAATACCACATTATGACCACCAGATGGAGCTGAGGAACACAGGACATAAGTATTTATTTCTTATCCTCCTTAGTGCCATCTAGGGGCCATAATGCAGTATTTTCCTGATATTATATTCAACTTGAAAATAAAATATACTAATAACATTTTGTTTTTGCTTACATTCACACAGAAAGAACATACATGCAGTTTCTCAGGATGAATAGGTCTCCAAATTTGTTATGAATACACCTCTATATCTTACTGGAACGTATATGCGAGTCAATATAGTCATCCAAGAAGAAATTATGGTGATTATATTTCTACAATAATAAATCATGACATTTCACCTGATGTGAAAACTGCAGCTACCATACATGGAATATTGTATACATGTTTAATGTATATTTCATAGGTAGCTCTAGTTTAAACCCCAAATTTCACTTTGATCAAACGAAAAAGTGCAAAAGAATGTGCCTACCAATAAAAGGCAGGTTACCAAATTTGAGATTATGTCCCTTCATTAGGTATTCAAAACATTTTCCCATTTAACAGTCAGATGTAAACATCTCAGGGGCCACTAGAAGCTCTGACCTCTAATAAAAGAGGGTTCATATTCACAAGCCCACCACCCAACTTTAATGATATATGTTGCAGCAGTGATCCACTTTGCTAGATCATGAAACTTTACCATGATAACCATACTACTCATAAAATCTGTAAATTGCTACACTCTTATCACTACATTGTGTGTAATGTTCATTCTTAAATTCCAGTTATGTCAAAACTATCTTTGCCTGCTAATTTTGTGAGATGTTGTAAATGATAATCTTTAATAAACATCTATTCATACAGAAACAGGAGAAGGTGGGAACATAATCTCAGTGAGATATCGAGCTGCAAGGTCCTACCCCAGATGATCCGAAGACAAGCACAGGATATTGCAGGCACCACCAGGTGTTTCCACCGTACCAGTAATCTTAGTATACAAAATTTGGTGGATATGGCAGGTTCACTTTGACTGCTTCAGTAACAGTAAAATAACTTGCTAGGTATAGCTCTTTAAATAGAAAACATTATATTACACCAAATAATATAAATGAAAACTTGAATTTTAATTACCTGGGACTTCTGTTGGCCACAGCAAGCACCACATATTCCACCAATTAAACCATTGATGACCTGAATCAAACATAAAATGATCTCGATTGCAGACAGGCCAATCAGGATGGAGAATAAAGTGACATTCCACACTACAACATTACGGGGCTCATTGCATTGGGACCATGTGGAGTGATCGCTCAGATAGCTGCAATACAACAATTTTAGTTAGATATGAAATGTTCTTGATTATACAGTATAATGTCATTTTCTGCAAATACTACTTTCTAAATATAATGCTTAACAAACATGTACTGTATGTAAATCCTAACAATACATTCTGCTAATTTGCCCCCTTTTGGTCCATTAAATATACTATTGGAATTTTATTGTTATACAGTATCTGTTTGGTAAGTATGAAACAATCCTGTTGATCATGTCATTTAGAGTTGTCCTGTGTGAACTTCCTGTATTATCTCAAGGAGCACTTTCAGTTCTTGTCTTGGATGATAGAATAATCAGCCTTTATATTTTAAAGATGGGAGAGTGGAAATGGTTGAATGGTTTAGCGAAAGAGGATGGGCAGGGCTGACAACAGTAGTCATAAATACTGTGTTGTGTCAGTCCAGCTTGTAGAAGCTGAGGGCATTTCTGGTAGATCAATTGGTATTTTTCTGAGGGTTGTCTGCTGTAATGTAATTAGACAAGTGGATTATAATTGGGAATATTACACTGTAATGTTCCCTATTATAATCTATTTCTCTGATTAAATTATTACAAACAGAGCCTCTGTTCTATCAAAGTTTGAGACCACGTTACAATGTGTGACTGGTGACGTGGTGACACATTTTAACGTAATCTCGCCCAGTTTTTCGGCGGTGGAATAGGTGAAGAATTCCAACGCTTTGTCCTCTGTTCCAGGGCAGATCGGCATCACAAATCATATGTGTAGAAGAACCGATCTGCCCTGGAATAGCTGATCGGTCCTAAAATGCCACTTCTATCCGACTTTGTGAGTGCGGTGTAATGTGAGATCGCAGCTGGATAGAAGTGACATTTCAGGACTGATCAGCTGTTTCAGGGCAGATTGGTTCTACTGCACATACGATCTGTGATGCCGATCTACCCTGGAACAGCTGGGAAAGCGCTGGAATGCTTCACCTATTGGCGGTCACAAATTCCACTGCAAAAAAAAATGGGCGGGATTACATCAAAATGTGTGACCACGTCACCGTTCACACATTCTAACGTAGTCACAAACTTTGATAGAACACCACCATCAGGGGGGTATGGCCGGTACCCATGTGAGGGGTCTGGGGGGCCTCTTACAGAAGTCTGGTATTGGTGGATAACTGTTATCAAGAAAATCTTTGCACATCGGGTCAGCTGCAGTTAAAAAAGAGAAAGCTTTGGAGGTTGGCGGCTCAAAAGAACATTTATTAAAAAAACAGATAGGGATTTGCAAGTACTGTTTACTCCATGATCCAATATTTTTCAGATATATTCAGGTGTGGGCTCACTAATCTTTGGAGGTGCTATCATGTGGACAGCTAGTAATAGACTATATTTGAACACTACCTGTACATTTTAGTATAAATGCCAACAAAGGTTACAGGATCAGTCCAAGTAACTGTAATAACTCATGGGACAAAAAAGGCTATGTTTTCATGGCATAAGTTTGATGTCTTTTTAGATAATTGCTTTCATGTTCTAAATTATAGATACCCTTTTGTTATTAACAATGTGAGCAGGTGTTGATGGCCTGAATAGAACAAGGTCCAGAGCCTAACAATCTCTTGAGCACACTGAAAGTCTACCTTGTTCTATAGTTACAGCTATTTAATATATATACATGATAGAAAACTGAATACAGTTATCTAGAACCAGATACATACTTTGCGTTAGTATTTGCAAAGGGATAAGTCCACCCTGAATTTGTTTGACAAAAGGGACCTTCAGCCAAGGCCAGGGCAGAAATGATGAGACAGTACCCAGCACCAGCAATTCCGATTAATGCAGCCACAACAGATCCAAGCATCTGAAAGGTAGAGTAATAATAATAATTATATCTTGAGTTCAGTACTGAATGAGAACCAACAAATCTCTCCAAAGATAGCCTAACAAACTTACTGCGCAGCTTCTACCACAGGTCTGATGGCCACAACATCCACAGCAATCCTCTCCTTCCATGCCAATGAACACAAAAGCTGGGAGCAGCATCTAAGACAACAAGTTCAATTCATAGGATAATTAAAAATTAAGCATTATTTTATATGATCATTGCACCATTACAGACGTCAACAGATTTGTTCTTACAACTCATTGAAATAGTTCCTTATTCCTCCTGAACAGTGATGAAATCTAAAAAAATATATATATATATTCTGTCTTTTGTATATGGAAAAGCAAAGAAAGTGTGAGAAGAGAGATCTGTGCTTCATCTACAAAGATATTCCAAAATGCCCTGGACAGAATTGGTACCCCTAGGAAAGATGATAAATAATTGGATCATAGGGGTATTTCAATTTAACTGCTTCTGCAATTAGTATCACACATGTCTTTGATCTTGTAATCAGTCAGTCAGCATATTTAAATGGTATCATTGTTTGATATTATTGCATGCAGTACACTGAACATGGACCAGAGAAAGCAAAGGAGAGAGAGTGAGAGGAAACCAAAAAGAAAATTGCATGTCAAAAATAAATGCTGTGGGACCATCTTCAAGCAGCTGTGACAATTGCAGATATTATTATTAGGATGTTTAAAGGAGAATTATGAGGCAAGTGATTTTCACTCAGCCTCATAATCTGAGCCAGTTTCATTGTCACAGGTTGGCTCAGTAGATCAGGAAGTGAGCGAACACTTACCATCGCTCGCTCATTTCTCGATCTATCCCTGCAGCGAGCCGTGACTGTCACTCACTGCTCCCTGCAGGGATTCCCCCCTCTCCTGTCCGATCCTCCAGCGCTGACTGGCGAAACGGATGGGGGAGGGGGCGGGCACAGCTGGCTCTGCCTCTGGATAGGCAGAGCCAGCTGTCAATCCCGCAGCTGGGTGGATCCAGACAGTATTGTCGGGATCCGTCCCGGCTGCGGCGTCTCAGTATACGGTATACTGAGCTTTGGGTCACGGGAGGACGCTTGTTTGTGTCCTCCCGTGACCATTAGGATAACTATAGGGAAAAGCCCTGACCCCATAGTTTTCCTTTAAGAACCATAGGAGCGTAGTCCACCTCCCTAGACAATACTGCAAGATGGAATTCGCCCCCAGATTAAACAGAAGTATAAAGCGAATGGTACACAAAGAGACAAGGAAAACTTTAAAAGAGATACAAGCTGAACTCCAAGGTCAAGGTACATCAGTGTCTGATTTATCTCACCATCAACTTTTTTGAGCAACAGTGGGCTTAAAGGAGAACTATGGGGTTAAGTCTTTTCCCCATAGTTCTCCTTAGGGTAATGGGAGGACACAAACTAGCGTCCTCCCGTCACCCTAGACTCAGTATACTGTGAGCTGTAGCTCGCGGTATAATGAGACTGCTCGCTCTCGGTACACTGCAGCTGAAGCGGATCCCGACAATTGTGCCGGAATTCGCCCATCTGCGTGACTGACAGCTGGATCTGACTATCTAGAGGCAGAGCCAGCTGTACCCGCCCCCTCCCCTGTCCGTTCCGCCAGTCAGCGCTGGTGGAGCGGGGAGGGGGGAATACAGCCCCTCCCGGAGAGAGCCGTGACAGGATCGAGAGGTGAGCGAATGCCGGTATGTGTTCGCTCACCTCCCGATCTACTGAACCGACCTGTGACAGTCTCATTGCCAAAGGTCGGCTAGAACTATGAGGTGAGTGAAAAGCCAGAAAAAAAAACTTGAAAAATGCCAGACTGGAATTTACTAAAATGTATACTGACAAGCCACAATGCTTCTGTTAGAATGTACATTGAACACAAGTAAAAACTGTAGCTTTCCGTGAAGCCACCCTCACAGATGAAAAAAATAAGCTTTCAAACAAAAGAGCACAGTACCTACTGTGAAACATGGAGGAGGCTCAGTTATGGTTTAGAGCTACTTTGCTTCATCTGGTATGGGGTGCCTTGAATCTGTGTAGGGCACAATGAAATCTCAAGACTGTCAAGGAATTCTGGAATGAAACCTACTGCACAGTGTCAGAAAGCTGTGTCTCAGTAGCAGGCCATTGGCCCTCCAACAGAATAATGAGTCAACCAAAAATGGCTAGGAAGAAAACTACTCTGAAGTGAGCTTCTGTGAGCCCTGATTGGAATCCTATCGTAGATCTATGGAAAGAGCTGAAACATTCCGTCTGGAGAAGGCACCCTTCAAACCTGAGACAGCTGGAGCAGGTTGCTCAAGAAGAGTGGGCCAAACTACTGTACCAACTACAGAAATTGCTTGTTTGCAGTGATTGCCTTCGAAAGGTTGTTCAACAAAAAAATTGATTATGGTTCCAGTCATCTTTGTGCATATGCTTTTCATTTGTTTTATTTATTTATTTATTTATTTATTTTTAAATATTCTGTTGAATAAAAAATCACAAGCAAAGTCTGATTTCTATTATATATGGAATAAACAATGATGGATGCCAAATACTTAGATCAGTTTAAACATATTTCAGACAAAATCTGATTTTGTTTTATGGAAGAACACCAACAAATTTGTCTGTATGTGTCTGCTGCGTCATTAGCAGAGTACAAAACATTTACAAAGTAGAATAATGTAAGAACATTGTATGACCAGGGCCAGATTTCTGAATACCGAATTTAGGCAATGACCTAGGATGGCAACGCTGACAACGGCTGCACAAAGCTAACCACACATCATATTGCTTACCAGGTGCATACACCTAGGCAGACTGCTAGCTAAATAGGACAATTAATTTCCCAACTTTTTTAGATCTAGTAAAGCAAAGTGGGGAAGTCTTAACCGCTGGCTCGGCATTCATTGTGTGTCCATCATATCTAGCCAGTCTGTGGGATAGGAAGGAGCAGCATAAGAAAGTTGGCTAAGGGTGCCCATACACTGTGCAAATTTTGGCCGATTCTTGAGGAAGAGCGGCACATACTGTGCGAATTTCGTCCGGCATTCCTTGATCAGCTGATCGAAGGAGCTGGCTGGAAAATCTTCATACAACCAAAGCCGGCAGCCAATGTCAGAATACAATGCAAACAGCAGGGATTCCTCAATTGATACACTCGTAATGTTGATGGATGAATCTGTTCTATTTTTTTTTTCATTTAGCCCGAGGGTTGAATGAGAAAAATAGAGAAGTGTATAGCCAGCCTTAGAGGGAAAAAAAGGTCAGGAAAGTCAGAGGAAAGCCAGAAGTCCTTCTCTGCATACATGTTCCAGGCCTGTGACTCAAGTATTGCCCTTTATGGTCAGTATGACAGCAAGGCAGCTAGCAATTTCAGAAATAGCGGTCAGCAACAAAATCCTCTATGTTCCTCTTATTTCTTTTCATTTAACACTACAGTCCTTCTGTGACAGAATAGCCAAGTTGGCTAATGCTTTTCTAGGAGATAATCTGATAATACTTAAGAATCTACAGTTCACTGCAAGTTGGGTAACCAGCTAAATATAAGTGAGTGTTAAGCAGGCTTACTAATGCACATACTGTGGACAAGGAAGTGGTCAAACGGTTCTAAGCACCCAGATCTTCTTTCTATGTTGGCTTTCCAAAATCTGATGATATAATTTTTTTACCAGCCAGGTATTGAGCACCAACTACACAAGAAGATTGTAGGATAGGTTAAAAATCAACCCAACCCACTATGACACATAGAAATTCAGATTCAGATGTCAAGACAGTTGCTGCAGTTACTACTAATTCCAGCATAACATACATTCTGAAACATTTTTCAAGGTCAGTTTAGGGAATATGTGCACATCTATCTGTTCATCAGTAGTTTAATTTTAAAACCCGCCAACAAAGGAGAAATATATACAATCCCATAAGGAAATAAAGATGAGTGAACCTTTGAAATCTGATGCAAATCAGCAGAATAGCAGGCAAACTAGATCAATTTATCTTTTTATATTCTTTGAAGTAAACCTGCCATGGATAAAATTAGGGGTTTGCCATCGCTGACCTTCTGAAAATGCTAGATGCCTGGCGGATTCCCGGACAAATACATTTCAATATTTTCTGCCCACAAATAAGTACACTATGGTAATCCATCACTCTCATGACAAACTTAATTTAAGGGAAAAATTAACAAATCTATCAAATTAAAATCTATTTTCAGATAAAAAATGATGTGAGAATCTTTTGTTCAGAATTGCTCAGTCAGCTTTTCTCATCTAAGGCAGTCTAAAAACTTCAGAGGACAGATGGATGCACAGACATGATCCGAATCACTTTAGGCCAGCACATCTTCCAGGCGATGCAAAGCTCTGCATAAACTTGGAAGCTTAGCTCTGGGGTCACAATCCAAAGGATAGATCTATCACAAGCTATCTTTCTTGGAGACTGACTTCCCTCTATATTTGTTCTAAAGCTGACACACATGATAACTGGATAGTGCAATCTCATTACTATCTCCATTAGATGTACCAACAACTGCAAAAAGTAAGGGTATCTATTTAACTCATATCTAACCAGAGAGGTTGTTGTACTACATAGATGTAATTAACTCTAAAAGGGAATTTCGATAAGATTCTAAGATGAATGACTTGTATGTTTTTATTGTTAAATAGATTTTATGAAGTTACATTGATGACATGACTGCAGCAACAGTGAGTTCACTGATTCTGTATACATTATGAAAATAAAACCCTAAAATAGCCATTACCTGTCTACATAAATAACCAGTTTCTGACCACACTAATTAAACAGCCTCCCATGAGAATGATGTCTTAAATGATAGCCCATTGATAGTTTATGTGTGGCAGTTCTGATGAAATATGACTCATTCTAAGCATTGCCTCCTCCACTTTTTAAGGAGTTTCAGTATGAGTTGCGTTTGGAAACCTACTGAAATATGCTTATACAGTATTCAACCTACCCAAACTGCTGAAACCACTGTCTATGTGCAGTCTATGTTGCTTTCATGCCTAAGAAAAAGTTATTTTTATTGTGTTTTACAAACCCAATCTTTCTAAACCAAACCTTTCAAGACATTTAATAGTTTCCAAAGCACAATGACAGATTGTTTTCTTGTCCTTGGTGTGGCCCAGAAGCACAATATTAAATTACAGTTTGGGGATGTTTGCAAATTGCATGTTCCCTTTTTTACTACACCCTTTTTGAAAGTTACTATTCAAGTAATGTCTACGGGCAAATACACATTCTATGTTTAGTGTTTAGTTGAATCCAGTTTTATCAACAAGCATCAACATGACAGATCAGGACAATGTCATGGTAGCTCCATGAGTCAAACTTTCAGCAGGTGACACGATATGATTACACTTCATTGTTTTGGAGAATATAATCTTTCTGAGAGCCTACATATTACATTTGAAATGTTCAGAGCTATTTTACACCATGATGTATGCATTGACATGAGTTGGGTTGACGAGTTTTAGGTGAATTGCATTATTTAAACAATTATATTGGCTTGGCTGACAAAATGTAGGATTTTTTCTTACACCCTGCTACACAACCTTCTCAAAACAATGCATTTTTTCTGACCCATTCCGTTGACCTTTACAATTACTACATTGAGATCTGCGGTACAGCAAAAAATGGGTATATGAAAAACCATAACATGGGGTCCTAAGGTACTTTTCTAATAACAATGTGGACTAATTTAATACAAGTTCCATACATTTTTTAGTGTTATAATTAGGGAAAATAATACAACCATGACCCAGCTTTGACCCATGATTAACACATATTTTAGCTTAATGACGTTGTCGCGCATTTGCGGTCATCTTATTGACGACTGCCAACGTCCATCTTGGTGATGGACGCCGACAGAGAGAGGAGGGGACGTTCATCTGGTGGAATGCGGTATGCCGCCGGGTCCCCTCCTCTCTCCTGATACTGTCGGGCTCTCGGTCTATGACCGAGTGCCCGACTTTTCATTGGGGGTAACACCAAAATGACTGTCAGTCATTTTGGTGTTACCCCTCCATTGATGGCACCCGGGTGCGCGCCGCACCCCCTGCACCCCCCTTGTGACGCCACTGTGTGAAGTAAAATATAAATGGACAGCTATACGGTACAATTATTATGATATTACCAAAACTGAGGTTTGAACTATGGATTTAAGTAAATAGTTTTATTGCTAGTACTCTGTTACATCAACTAACCTTGGAAGGCACTGGGACTCATTTACTAAAGGAGTAGAGGCTCTTCACCTCATTCACTAAACTAATTGTACATGTGCTATTCCTTTAGTAAACCAACCAACTGGGGTTAAATGTCTAGAGACATTTTACCCCAGACAAAGAGTAGAGCATGTTCAAAGTGAATTTTCTTTTTTTAAAGTGAGTCTGCAGTAAGCTTTGCACAGAATACTCAATCATGGGCAAGCAGAGTTAAAAAAAAAAATTTGTTCGCACCTAATTGGATGATTGAAATCAGCACAACTTCACCTTATCCACTAAGCTTAGTGAACTTAGTTTTGTAAAGGTTTTAAAACTTAGGAAAATTGTTTGTAAAGTTGGTCTAAATCATAATAAAATTAAGAAAATGTTATGCTGGCACTGTAATGAACAGAATAAAACATGTGTCAAGGAAATTGAAAAGTTTGCTATTAATCACTAATATAACTGAAATTTTAAAGCAGAAACATATAATACTTACAACAAGTCCGGCTCCTCCAATTCCATGGAAAAACCACACATATCTGGACAATTGGTTTTCCCTGGACCATTGTGTTTCTCCATTAGGAAAAAATAATAAGATATTCGCCACAATGCACAGGATCGCCAAAGTTAGTAGCAAAGAGCCGATACATCTTGCACACTTGCTAAAACACATCTTGGTAGGTGAGATCAGCCCTTTGTCTAGCAAGTTCTAACAATGAGTGAATCTTTTGTTCTATCTCTTAAATACCCAGAAGTGAGTGTTAGTCACCAGGGTGAGACGTATTAATACCAGCACTGATTGCTGAGTACAGAAGCCGAGTGACTTTTTTTTCTTTTGAGAACCAAGGAAAGGGCGGGGAGAATTAAATTCCTATTTGTATTATTTCTTAGCTCAACTGATTGACGTCACATTTCTTTCAGCTAGCTATCAATGAGATTCATTCTCATGTGATGTGTGCTTGCACACTTGCTAATATTATTTGCAATTTACTCAGAGATTACAGGTGACTTGCTTTGTTTCTGCTATCCCCTGACAACTACAGGTAATGCCTGCTAATAAATCCTAAGCAAAGGCCTTTATGCCTTAACAAAAATCTGTCATTAGAGAACAATGGGGGCTGTCATTGCTGACCTCCTCCTAAAAATGTTAGCTGACTGGTTGCTATTCTAGCCTAATATGAGTTACTGATTAGAACAATCAGAATTCCTGCATACATGTTCTGGGTCAGTGTTTCTAGGTATTAAAGCAGTAGGATCAGTAAGACCATCAGGTGAGTAGCATTTTTAGAAAGCAGCACATCAATGATAGTCTACATGTTAATATCAAAAGCCTCTCCATTAAATGTGCATAACTGTTTTTCTCGTTAATTAGTGCTGTCATAGTAAATCACTGCTACTAGAGTCAGTGAATCCGTGGTGCCATGACCCAAAAGACAAATACTGGAGGGAGCACATTTTCAGTACGAGCTTTAGTAAAGAGCATCACTTTACAGCCCATGTGGTTACTTTTCTCTGTGTCCAAGTTTATCCTGTGTTGAGCCTTGATGAAGCCCTGATGAAGGGGGAGTGGTTTTGCCCTCAAAACACTTTGTTTGTCTTTATCAATAAATAAAAATGATCGTAGACTTTTTCATTTGTTTCTGCTCTGGCACTCCCTTCTGTAAACCAGCTACTGTTTGGTACCCGTTGAGGGAAACCTTGCTGTGCGGGAGTCACCCCACCAGAGTTATTGAGCTTGTTTTAAAGTAGAACTATGAGGTGAGTGATTTCTACTCATCCTCCTAGTTTCAGCTGACCTGTGACAAATAAACTGTCACGCGTAGGCTCTTTTGATCGGGCAGTGAGCGAACACATACCATCACTCACTCACTTCCTGATCATCTCCCTGCAGAGAGAGGTGATTGGCAGTCACTGCTCCCCGCAGGGATTCCCCCCCACTCTCCGATCCTACAGTGCTGAGTGGAGGAATGGATGGGGGAGAGGCGGGCACAGCCGGTTCTACCTCTAGATAGGCAGAGCCAGCTGTCACTCACGCAGCTGATTGGATCTCGGCAGAATTGTCGGGATCTGTCCCGGCTGCGGTGCTCTAAGTATATCGCAGGCAATAGCCCACTATATACTGAGCTTTGGGTCACGGGAGGAGGTTAGTATATGTCCCCCCATGACCATAAAGAGAATTATGGGGGAAAACGCTTACCCCATAGTTTTCTTTTACATTTTTCCGTGATCTGATTTCGTGTATCAATCAGTATGATCATAGAGCCTCTTTAAATATGTTGTTGTACTGTTTAGTGCTGCATTCCCCATTCCTACATTCTTTTCATCCTCCCCTCATTCTCTGCTGTGTAAAACCCACCTCACCATCCTGGAAGTTTTTTTAAACAGTTGGGCAATAGATGTAAGTTGATGTGGTGGTCACAGACATTTATGGGTAGTGTACACTGCCAACTTCTTTCAGGTTCCAGTCAACTATCAGGGTGGTGAGACAGTTTTACAAAGTAGAAACAATGAAGGGAGAGGGGGTAAGGGAATAGGTGCCCTATTTTAAAACTGAAAGGACAAAACATTGTATATGTACTTTATACCAGCTTTATACCTATTTTAGAACTGCAGCACCCTATTAGCCCAATCACTATGATGGGCTGTCTATTTAGTCAATGTGAATGTTCAAAAGGCAGGAAAGGACAGGCAAGCTTTGAAACTACCCAAAAAGAGCTTTGCCCAAACAGAACAGCCTGAGATGTAGACATAGCAGCATGACTTTTCTATCCACATAGGACCACCTTTAGAATCTTCCATAACAATAATGGTAAAGTTGGTAGAAAGAAAATCAAATATGGCTTGTTATAGACGCATTTCATGGCACTACCCAATTACATTGATTTCTTATTGACTGGGAATTAGTCTTAATAGAATTAAAAAAATACTTAAGTTGAATCCAGGGAGAAAACTATTCAGATGGAAAGTGTTTACAGAAAGAGAATATACTAATTAACATGGCAACAACACATGTTAAAGCCCAGTAGACTTCTCTGTCCACAGTCATGGATCCACTGCCTCAACAATGCTTGCTGATATAATAGTTATGTAGCAAATTGCTTATCATAAATTTACACCTGATGTGATATCCAGCTTTAGAGGGTCACATGATGACCTCAAGTAAACATATCATAGTCCTCCCTAAACAGGAACAGTATACACAAGGCTCAGTCCTAATAGATCAAAGCCAATTGGAATTTATAAAGAATTGCACATCAGGAGTGGTAATGGTGATCAAAATGACTTGGTGTAATGCTACTGTATAATAAACTGTTACTTAGTGGTTAATTGTGGTTTCATCTGAGCAAGATATTTCTCTCCATAGTGGCTATGTCTATTTAAATGTATAGCAAGTTTGGATCAATTATTGCAGAATTAAAGAACTAATCAATGCAATCTAAGAATTAGCTGAAACGTTTTGGGGTTCAAGTGTACCCAGAACCGTTTCTAATGAAATTAAGTGCCACTTATGAGTATTTGGAAAACAATTAGGAATACTTACAGTATAAGTGGTGCCCATGTCAATTATTCTTCTTAATTATATTTGCGGTACTTTTGATGGTACCTACCTACCCTCAATGTAGGGTTAGAGGTTCCCTCCTCTTCTTGAAAAACTCTGGTCTCACAAATTTTAGTGTATTACATATATAACCAAAATGGTTAAAAAGAAAAACAGACTCCAATTGTATTTTTTTTTTAAATATATTTTTATTAGTTTACTTACATACTACAAATAACATTATGAAAATCAATTAGTTAAACACACAATTAAAAAACACATACAACCTCCCATTTACTCCAATGCATCCAGCTCTATAGGTGAGCTAATAAACTCCCTCCACGGGCTCCACCTCTCAAAAAACAACATATATCTTTCATGGAAGCGGGCAGTAAGCTCCTCCAATTGCATAGTGTTGTTTAATTCCGCTACCCACTCCGACACCTGGGGAATACTTGTTGGCTTCTAATACCTTGGTATTGCTGCCCTTACTGCTGCCAATATCGGATCCAATAGTCCTTTTCTCAATGCTGAAATTGAGCCATGGTGTAATGACAACAATGCAACCTCAGGTATCTCTAGTATACATAGCCCTGTTAAGTGTTGTGCTATCTCCAGGATCGATTTCCAGTACGTTCTTATCAACTGACATGACCACCATATATACAACATTGTCCCCTCTTCCCCAATACACCTCCAACACAGCTTAGAGTTTTTAGGATTCATCTTATATAGTTTTGTTGGGCATCTATACCATCTCGTTATATTTTAAAATTTCTCTCCTGTATCATAACGGAGATGCTTGACTTAAAAGTTAAGAAAAAAATCTTATTCCATTCCCCTTCTGTAAGTACATGTCCTAATTCTCGTTCCCAGGCTTTAGTATAGTACGGGAGTGATGGATACATCTGAGACAAAAACATATCATACAATTTGGATACCATATGTTTATCTCCATTTGTATATTTTAGGTGTATTGGCGTTCTAGCTCTGGGAAATTGTCCTGGTTGTTGACAAAAATTGTCAAGCATGCTTTTCAATAACTAATATATTACAGTATATAATATATCATCAGAAACAGCACTATTAAATACTAGAACAAAATATTCCATGATTTTCTGTGTGGATGACAAAAGCTTTTACAATTCATTGAAAATCTCTGTGACTGCATTTACAGGCACACATTGGAACAGATGCTTGGAAGTACTAGCTCTTACAAGCCATCCTTTTAATACAGATAGCCAACACATTTATATGAAGTGGCTTGATACATGGCATATGTCTACAACCTGCATTGCTCCATTATAGAGTTACACTTCAGACACATATACCAGTCAGCCATAACATGACTACTGACAGGTGAAGTAAATAACATTGATTATCTCGTTACAGTGGCACCTGGAAGTGGGTGTGATATATTAGGCAGCAAGTGAACAGGCTGTCCCTGAAGTGAATGTGCTGGAAGCAGAAAAATGGGTAAGTGTAAGGATTTAAGCGACTTTGACAAGGGCCAAATTGTGTTGGCTAGATGACTGGGTCAGAGCAACTCCAAAACCGCAGCTCTTGTGGGATGTTCTTAGTCTGCAGTGCTCAGGAACTACCAAAAGTGATCCAAGGAAGGTAAAACAGTGAACTGGTGACAGGGTCATGTGCAGACAAAGGCTCAGTTATGCACTTGGGGAGCAAAGGCTGGCCTGTGTAGTCCAATCCGATAGAAGAACTACTGTAGGGGGCGTGTCCTGGTGATGGCCGAGTGAAGACGTGCTTCACAGGAGCTCCGCTACCTTTTAACTTTCAGCCGACCGTACTCACCCGATCCAACACTACCCACACAATCCAAAATGTCCAAGAAGACTAAGAAGACGGGCCGGGATGCCAAGCCGGTCAAACCGCCGCTGCCCAAGTTCTTCAAGCCGCAAAAAGCTCCGGCGGCAGCTCCGGGGGGAAAAAACAGTATGGCGCCGTCCGTTTGGCCTCCACGAGCTCCCCGAGTGACGTCATGAGCACTGTCTCTAGAGAACCGCGGCTACACAGCCCTTCCTCCTGCTCGACACCGCAGTCATCACCCGCCCAGAGTCCAGCTATAACGGAGGACTCGATGACGGATGGAGCAGAGTGGCATTCTGCACTCAGAGGGGGAATTCAAAACGGAGGTGAATTGCGGCTGAAACCTCGGCTCTCCTAGCAGCGCTGCCCACGAGACAGGACTGGCTGCAATTTTCTGCTCAAATGCAACAGCTCCTTCGATCTGAACAGAGGGAGGTTAAAG